CTTCGGCTGTTGCTGGAGCAGTTCACAGCTGAGTGTGAAGCAGCTGAGATGAGAATCAGCTCCTCTAAATCTGAGACCATGGTCTTGATTCAGATTTAAGCCGGGCGTACACTGTGCGACTTTTTCACTCGCAGCGTTCAGCTTCAGCTCAAACTGTACGACTTCCTCGCAGGGCAGATCTCACGAGTCGTGTGCTCACACTGTACGACCCAGTTCTCGCATGCGACCTGACTGCTCACACTGTACATCTGGTAGCAACACGTCGGCCCTAAAAATTTGCTAGAAATAGCAGTTTTTACTCAACACGTCAGACTTTTTTGTCTTGCCTGTTGTCCTTCGGGAGTGCTGCAGGAGGACACACAGGGATTTATGGGGGTTGGATGAGGAAAACGAAATAAAGAGAGTAAATCTGTGTTTTGTGATCAGTTTAATTTGACATGAACACGACAAACACGCTTTCTTGACAATCTTTGTGAGTAAAAAAAAAACGTGTAGAAACAAAAACGAACAGCGTGTGTTATTAGGGAAATAGCGAGCGACCGGCCGGTGTTGTGCCATAAATCGACTCGCTGCCAAAAAATGATTAGCCACTAAAGGAAGGAAGGGGGAAAAAAATCAAATCGCTGGAGAATTGTTTATTTACATTTATACAACGTTTACATTCAATACAGGGCGCCATTTTACATTGTTTATTTATTTTTTAGTATCAAGGCTGTAACATAAAGAAAGCCAGTTCTTACCACAAACCATCTTTCAATCGCAAATATTGCAAAAAGGATTAATATATCCTCATTGTGAACGTTTAAGACAAATAGCAACACTTAAAACAACTTCCGAACTGGAAAAAACTAAGCTAATCATTTTTTGGCAGTGAGTCGATTTATGGCACAACACCCGCGTTGATGCAGGATTGCGCGCGCATGCGCCGTGAGCGGTTCTGATACTTTTTGGATCGTAGCTGCTCGCAGCTGCTCGCAGCGCCGCTTCAACAGTGCGATACCCTCACGAGGGACGAGCAAAATATTAAACACACCAGAAGTCCCTGCGACCTCACGACTGCTGATCGGCGGCTGGTCACGTGGAGTTAATCGCCTCTCGTAACCCCCTGTACACTACACGACCGCTCGGCGCAAAACTCGCCCCGATGTCGTGGCTTCTCGCACGACTGGAAAATCGGCTCAAAAAAGTGAAAAAGTCGCACAGTGTACGCCCGGCTTTAGGGTTGTCACGGTGTGAAAATTTAACCTCACGGTTATTGTGACCAAAATTATCACGGTTTTCGGTATTATCGTGGTATATTTTTTAAACGTGTTACATTTTCAGACATCTAAATAAACCCTGTATATCAAGGAAAATATTGTCCTCAGTTTGTGTCTAAATTTTGCCTAAAATTTGTTATTTTGTAATTATGTTTTTTATTTGTTTACATTTTTCCCTTTAGTCTTTAAAATAGCAATATTTGCCCATAACTTCTTAATTTTTGTCTGTTTGATGTCATAATTTTAAAAATATTAGATCAGATGATACTCAGTACTCAAGTAGCCTTCTAATCAGATACTTTTTTTTTACCCTTACTTGAGTAATAAACCCTATATCAGGAAAATATTGTCCTCGGTTTGTGTCCTTCCAGTGAGCTTTGCAGATGTGGGGAAATGTCATCAGGCAGTAATCATTGTTAAATTCATAATTATTCTCAGAGAGACCAACTCTTATCTGCCCCTGAGAGCCCCATAATGCATAGCGTCATTTCAATATGGGGGTGTCCGCGACACGGTTTACATGCAGGTAGCGGCGCTGCGGCTGCTTTATATAGCGACTCGTTGCATTCTCCCTCAACCCAAATCCTCGGATCACGCATTTTAGCTAAAATGCTAACGTTAACTTGCCTTGCGTTGACTGTAGAGTTGTGGGTGATGGTCACGCAGATGTGTCATGAGATTTGAAGCGTTGCTGCCTTTCACAGACACTTTTTCTGCACGTGCTGCAAGCAGGATAGCCGTCTTCTATAAACTGTCCCTCGGCATTCTTCAAATATCCAAAAAATGCCCGTACTTCCGACTTTGTCTTCTTTTAGGGATAATAAATGTCCTGAGCACTGCCGTCTCCTCCTTTGGCCATTATTTCAGCTTTAGCTTCAAGAAAGTTTTGGTTGTAAACAACAAAGTGCGCATGTGCCGCCGGCAACTTCTGCAGATGATACAGTGGCTGGTAAGGGTCACCACGCCTACACCGCGGCCACGGGAATCCACCGAGATAATATATATTTTTAAAAACAAGACGGTTATTATTATTGTCAACTTTTTTACCGGGGTTTACCGCTACACCAGTTACCGTGACAACCCTATTCAGAAAAGGGTAGAATGCCTTCTCCGGATCAGGGATGAGGTCCTGTCCCAAGTGGAGGAGTTTTAAGTATCTCGGGGTCTTGTTCACGAGTGAGGGAATGAGGGAATGATGGAGAGTGAGATCTATAGGTGGCTTGGTGCTGCGTCTGCAGTGATGCGGGCATTGTAGTGGTCTGTCATGATGAAGAGAGAGCTGAGACAGAAGACGAAGGTCTCGATTTACCGGTTGATCTACGTTCCTACCCTCACCTATGGTCACGAGTTCTGGGTAGTGACCGAAAAAATGAGAGGGTGGCTGGGCTCTCCCTTAGAGATAGGGTGAGAAGCTTGGTCATCCGGAAGAGGGGCTCGGAGTAGACCCGCTGCTCCTCCACATGTGGTGAGGTTTTCCGGGGCACGTCCAACCAGGAGGAGGCCTAAAGGTAGACCCAGGACACGTTGGAGGGACTGTGTCTCTCACTTGGCCAGGGAACACATTAGGATTCCCCCGGATGAGCTGGCCCAAATGGCTGGGGAGAGGGAAATATGGGCCTCTTGACTTCGGCTACTGCCCCCACGACCCAAATCCGGATAAGTGGGAGAAAATGGATGGATGGTTTAAAAAATTTACTTATCCAACATATATCTCTGACCAAGAATAAAGGACAGGCTAAAGAAACAGTCCTCGCTAAAACTTTCTTTACAAATATACTTCAAAGTCTCCTTCAATAAAATGACTGTGCTCTGTAGGATCAGTGGTTGCCTTGAGCTTTTCTAAGGAAGTTTCAGGAGGAAGAAGGTTTTCGAAGGAGGGGTCACAAGAGGATCACGAGTCTTAATATTCATGAACTACAAACATATCTCACAACACAACTCTTCTGCTGCTTCGTTTTCTCTTTTCTCTTGGGTAAAAATGTTGCAACGTTGATCCACAAATAACCCAAGCCTGAACTGAGTTGCTAATGCTAATGTTAGCTTTTACTAATCATGAGCTCTGCTCTCTCCTGGCCTCTAAACTAAAACAGCCTTCAACAGTCCCAGGCCCAGGTGGGCGAATGCTAATTTTCTCTGTGACGTAGCATTATCAGACCTGATCGCTTTCCTATTATTTCCTGTATGTGGCTAACGCAGGCAATAGGGGCTGGAGACTGCTTTTACGTTCATCGTGCGTGTGAAACTCAGAGTGACCAATCATATTTAAAAAAAAAAACAAATGTTCAGATCCTCAGGGAACAAGCACTTTAAAGCAGGAGTGCCTAACCCTGGTCCTCCAAAGCCACTGTCCAGCATGTTTTAGTTGTTTCCCTGTTCCAGCACGCCTGATTTTAATAATTGGGTGATTGAAACTGTGTCATTACTTGGAATCTGCCGGAGGTGAGCACAAACTGACGTAATGGTGCAACACATTCTCACTCCCAGCACGTCAAAAACAAACGCTTGGTCAGCCACCCTCCACGCCAGACCCCTGACGCCAAAAGTGCCCTTTTTCGTTACTTATGTGCGAAAAGGGTTTTTTCCCTTATTTGACTGCAGATCCCAATGCAGCATTACACTGACGCGATGGGATGTCCGCAGCCAGGGCACCAAACAATCTCATTGTACCTCACCTTAACCTTATCCTCTTATTTAACCTTCCCCTCACCCCTATCCTAACCTTAACCATCTTGCTAGCGAACACGTTAGTGATGTGTCGATCGCTCTAAAAGCCGGCTCTATGAAGCGAACGGCGGGAGCCGCCTCGTCATTGGTCGAATTTGGACCGAGCCAACGCGAGGGGGAGGTTTCAACTACCACTGTGGAGGTTAAAGTAGAGGGTATTTGTAACCTCCCCCTCGCCAGATGGTATGTTCTAACGTTCCCCTTGGGCGGCAAATACGAAAATTCACAGTCAGACTCTGACTGTCAGAGTCAGAATGCATGGGAAACAAACGCTTGATCACAGTGAGAGTAACATTTTAGGTAGCAAGAGGGTTAAGGTTAGGATGAGGGAGAGGGGAAGGTTATAAATAGTGAAACGTTAAGGTTTAGGTGCGGTTAAATGAGCTGGTTCAGTGCCACATCAGCGGATATCTAATCACGTCAGTGTAACGCTGCATTGGGATCTGCAGTTACAAAAGGGGAAAACCCCTTTTCGCACATAAGTAACGAAAAAGAGCACTTTTGGCGTCTGGGGTCTGACGTGGAGGGTGGCTGACCAAGCGTTTGTTTTTGAGGCGCTGGGAGTGAGAATGTGTTGAATGGTGAAACCCAGAAAGTGGACAATATTAATGACCTGTTAGGTTGGATTAAATCACTAGAAAATTACATGAAACGAGCAACATCTTAATTCCACTTCACCCTTTCACTGAAACGTCACTGTCTTCTTTTAGAAACACGATCCCATCCCCTTTATCTGGGCTCTTGTCCTTTTGTCAGAAAGGCTGAAGGAAGGATCAGTTTCACCTTCCTCCATGACGTCGTCTCGAGTTCGACACACAAACCAGCAGTGCATTATTCTCGGGTGACTGAGATCGAGTTGTCAAAGATGAGAGTAGAACAGGAACATGTGCTCCTCACGCGTCTGTAGCTACTAATTATGATTAAATGTGGGAATCCGACCCCATTGTGCCGTGTTTATTTCTCATCACTTTTTCTTGTTCACTGCTTTCCACTACTTCTGCCTCCTTTTAAAAACAGGTGGCAGGAGCTCTGTGGTGGTACTTCGTCTCTAAGGGCGTTGAATATCTGGACACTGTGTTTTTCATCCTCCGGAAAAAGTTCAACCAGGTCACGTTCTTGCACGTCTACCATCACTGCACCATGTTCACGCTCTGGTGGATCGGCATCAAGTGGGTGGCAGGAGGACAGTGTGAGTGAACCATAATCTCAACATTGTGGCCCAACTGGGTTTGGTTTGTCGTCGCACAGTTTCATAGAAAGTTAAATATGCAACAGGAGAACTATCTCAGAGTCTGTTCTGAGGCACTCAGATCCAACATTTATATGTGTAATCTGTCAGAGAAAAAACATTTATGGCTTACCTCTGGGAAGCGTAACACACAACTAATGACTGCGCTAAATTTGAACTTCAGGTCTATTTTTTTACTCACTGTGCTTCCAAAGTGCTTCAAGTTCAACAGTTCAGATCAGGCCGGACAGGAAGCTAATCACAGAAGCAGTGTAAAGCATCCAGTACATTTCAGAATAAAAGACACGTGCAGATTTAACTAAGAAACAAAAACCGTCATTCCCTGTGAACACTCTGTGGCCCAAGTAAAATAACAGAAAATTACCCACAGACCTTTCGGATACCTGCAGCTGTCTTTCTTCTTGCTTGTTTCAACATGAACTGGTGATATCTCGCGTGATCTTGCAATTCTCCCATGATCACGTGGGACCTTCTATGTGGAACATATTTACAGTTAGGGCTGCTCGATTATGGCAAAAAAAAAAAATCACGATTATGGTGACTGAAATTGAGATCACGATTTTTTAGGACGATTTTTCTATTTATGCTGATTTTATTTGTTTTTATTCTGTCATAAAATTGCTCAGGGCACAATCAGGACAAAAATAAATAAGAAACAAGATTATCACTAAAAGAACTCCTGATTCCCAGTATAAAAAGACCAATATACTTATAGCTCATAGTCTATGACCCAAGGGCTATAGACCTTGGTTTAACTCATTTAAGTCTAACCAGTACAGACCCAAATACCAATATCTTGCAAATACTGACAGCAAGAAATATACAGTGGCATTTATAACAAATAAATGCAAATAAATTGATGTTCACAAAATGTTGCATAACATTTATTGAGTCGTGTCAAGGTGCTGTAGGAGAGTGCACTAGCACCGTGTCCTCAGAGAGATTAGTTATTATTTATCAGCATGAGGAACTTATTTCTACCTTATTTATAAACTATTTATTTACAGGTCCATCAGTTAATGTAATAAATGTCCCAACCACAGCTGCACCCCCCACCCCCCAACCCGGTCTCACAGCAATCAGGGGCAAGCTGCACGTGTGTTTAGCACGCCGCACACGCACAGCCGTTTTTAGTGGCTCAGGAGTCCGCAGGTACGGTGTGTGTCACTCACTCTGGTTACTCCAACAGGGAGCTGGCTCCGAGAGCCGTTTCAGTAGCGACCGACACATCACTACATCATTCCCTTTCCTAGTGTTCTGAAGAATGGTCCGGAGCGCAGACAGAGCGTTTAGCTAACCTGCAGGAAATGTCGACGACAATTATCCAGAAAATAGCTAAGGGTTACCAGAGATGTTTCTGAGGTGTTCGCTAGGTACTTTTGAGATTTAAAAAGTCAAGAAGGGGGTCTGAGAAGCTGTCAGAAATAGTGTCAAAGTCGCCAAGTTGGCAACACTGTAGGGAGGAGCGCTTCATTTGCAACTCAGGGTAGCGCAAGTGGGAGGAGCAAATAATCGGCTTGTTTTGTTTTTTATAATCGTTCAAAACTCAGATCGTAATCGTGATTAAAATTCGATTAATTGAGCAGCCCTATTTACAGTTGTGTGAAACATACTCGTTAGGAAGGGACGTGCTGCTGAGGTCGTGGTGAAAACGCATCTGTATTATATTCAGAGCTGCTTACGCATCCGGTGGAAAGTCCAGGCTGTAGTTATTTCACTTTGAACCAGGGATGCCAGATATTATTGATCCACCATTAATACCGACTGATATCTGCATTAAAATGTAATATTGTGTCTTTTAATGACACAGCCTTTACATCCCATACATGTTATACATAAACTTTTCAGCTACCTCTCCTCTTTCTCAAAACATTCAAACATAAAAGATCTGAAGTAACATTTTCAAGATATTTTAGTTTACTTGGCACAACTTGTGGGTAGAAATTTGCCCTGTGTGGTGAACATATGCTGTACGTGGCTACGTGTGGCTAGCAGCTAACAAACAAATAAAACAAAAACAAGAATCTTCACACAAGGCTTGTTTTTCTTATCTGGAGAACTTGTTAAATGTTTTATCACCACAGCTGCAATTTACAGAAGAAAAGACATTACTAACTAATAAACACACCTTAGCGTCACGCCGAGAGAGAACAAGATTCAGCTGCTGTTGGAGACAAAATAAAAAGGACACTTTTCCTGTTACCAACTTAAATTGAAGTAGTTGTCATTTCGCACAGACGTTTTTTAAAATTTCAACACTGAAGGAGCTATGTGATGTTAGGAACCTAAAATGTTTTAGTTTTTCTTTTTTCAGAAGGGGGGACACAGCAGATATTGGTTTATATTTTGGTAAAAAAGCCAATATCAGTTCTCAGTTTCCACGTATAGCCTGTTTTATTCCACAACGTCGTAGTCGTGAATAATGGTAAATAAATAAATGATGCAATATCCCATCATATAAGGAACAAATAAGGATTTTTGTTTCTTGACTTTTGATTTTTATCAAATGAGAAAACTTGCAAATGTGATGGCTTTAGAGGCAGAATCACAGCAAACTCCTTTAGCTTCCCACCAAAAGTGTGTGAGGGTTAGGGTTAGAGTGCAGTGCCACCCACAGAATCAGGGAAGCTCGTGCTGTTAGCCTGTGTTTTTGGGCTTTCCAATCATAACAGGTTCTACTTTCATACAGATTCTTTTTGGGTTTTGAAATAAAAGAGGGGTTTTCCTCCGCTTTTATTCTGGTTTCTGTGCTGAAACATTTTTCTGTTTCTATTGAAGCCTTCTTTGGTGCACACATGAACGCACTGATCCACGTTATGATGTATCTGTATTACGGCCTGGCCTCCTGCGGACCTAAGATCCAAAAGTACCTGTGGTGGAAGAAGTACCTGACCATCATTCAGATGGTAAGAAGGGGTTCTGATTTCCTTTTGAAGTTACAGCATCCAAGGTTAGGATTAGCATTACCATTCTTTATTTGTCCCTCTCTCTTGCATCCCAGATCCAGTTCCACATCACCATCGGCCACACCGCCCTGTCACTCTATGTCAACTGTGACTTCCCCCACTGGATGCACTACTCCCTCATCTGCTACGCCATCACCTTCATCGTCCTGTTCGGTAACTTCTACTACCAGACCTACCGTCGCCAGCAGCAGCCCACGCGTCGCGACCCCTCCTCTTCCTCCAAAGCCACCAAGGCCATTTCCAACGGCAGCCTGAACGGGCTCAGCAAAGCCGCCAACGTGGCGGTGCTGATGGGCAGCAAAGAGGAGAAGCCCCAGGAGAACACTGGAAGGAGAAAGAGGAAAGGACGCGCCAAAAGAGATTAGAGGAAGAGGGGGAGGACGAGCAAGGTGGGACCTTATGCTCTGCATTCTGGTTTTAGCTGAAACAGGAAAGACTTGATTTGAGGAACGTTTAGATGCATGGATGTGTTCAAGTCAGACTTATTTCTTTAGGCCATGATCTGAGGTTCTAGGTTCAAGCTGAGATGAGAGGGGATTTATTTGTTCATAAAAAGTCATGAATAAGATGATAAATATCATAAAATGACTTAAATGAAGCAGCAACATATTGGTTTGTTCATAGTGTTCCTTCTAGTGCCATGTACGGTAGAAATAAACAGGATTTGTAGCCTTCAGATGTTGGGCCTGGACATGAACGCCACGCTGGAAGCAAAGGTTTAACGCTGTTGTAGTCACCAAACACAGCTGGAACTAAACAAAAATACACAAAACAGACACACAAACACGTCAGCTAGAGACGTAAAGCTAAGGTTCTCCATCGTTTCACTCCGGCTAAGCGTGAAAGGCGTTCTCACAGCTTCTATTATTTACTCTGACCTGAGACGTGGGCTCTGACTTTTGAGCTGCCATCCTTTATCGCGCAGTCATATCCAGAATGTGGACAGTGAGTCAACATCAACATGTTCCTAAAACCCAAAAGAACAGCTGATATGGTCCCGCTGTTGCTTTAGCTCTTTTTTCTTGTCTGTAAACTTCTAACCCAGGTTGTACATCCATAACTGTTCGTCATGTGATCAGATGTAACAATATCCAGGATCTGATGATATTCTGTGTTTTCCTGCTCTTACGGAGGAGCTGGAGGAGTGTTACTGATGTTTTCCTGTCTTTTATATTCTAACTTGTGTGAACTCGTTCCTCTCAGACGCCGGAGAAATCAAAGCTGCTGTTATTATCGTTTAGGGTTCCTTTTCGCTCATCCTGCTTGCTTCCTCTCTTTTTTACCACGGTACTATGGCTAACTTCGTAAAGACAAATATCTAAACCTCTTTAAAGGAGTAAAGAGTCGTTTTTTCAGCTAAGAACTGAGGCTTTATTTATGACCTCGGCTGACTTGAATGTAAATTCATCCTAGATGTGAAAAAGGTAGAGACCTTTGCTCTTTGTGTAAAATACAGAGTAGGTCAGCTCTAAATCAGTAAAGCCTGCTTTTGGCCAGCAACCAGCCAACGCAGTCTGTTATTTATCAGTTTGGACGACTCGAGTAAATACCGACTTATCGATCTGAGTGCTTGTTTGCGTATTTGTCTTATTTTTGTGATGTATAGATCACATTGTGATCATTTGTACTCTGTGCTTTTAGAGTAGACATTTGTATGGCCACATTGCTTCTGTTTTTTTTTACTATCATAAACTGAACTTTCTTCAAAATAAAATAAAACTGAACACCTGTAGAACTTCTTTAATGTCTAAATATTTTTTATTTACATTTATTTGTGTTTTTCTCATCAGACTGTTGACTGACCTGAGCTAGTGCTACCTAGAGCAGCACGTGTCAAACTACAAGAACAAATAAATCCACCAAGTGCTTAAATCAGAATATTTACAATGTTTCTGCCACTAGAGGACCCTGTCTTCCTAAACGACTCCCTTCTGGTGTTTGATGCCAACTCTTATAATTAAGGAAATAAAAACTAGCTTTAGTTTTTATTAAATTGTCTGATATGATTAGAACAGATTATCGTTGCACGTCGAAGAATGTTTTTAATAAATCTGTGGGACCATTATCACTTCCCACAGCATGGTGATGTTTGCTCATCTGGAAAAAGGTGGAAGCTTTTCATTAAGATCCATTAAATCTAATAAAGTAACAGAGTTTTTACATTTTAGGAACATCAGTGTAAAATACTCATTCTAATATAAATAAGATAAACCTTTTACATTCAGTTAACATCCCTGTTCAGTCTCATAGATCTCCTTTGAATTTAGACAAAGGTTTCCATGGTTACACCAGCGGTCATTCTGTCCCCACCCCACATCCTGCAAACACTCCCAGCCCTCAGCTCTTCCTAGGATAGCTGAGGTTTGCACTGTGTGTGTGTGTGTGTGTGTGTGTGTGTGTGTGTGTGTGTGTGTGTGTGTGTGTGTGTGTGTGTGTGTGTGTGTGAATAAGTATATTGAACTGGCAGCTATGTCATCAGCAAACAACAGATTAGATGAACATTTGAGGGCATGCCTATTATTTTTAACGTGGCTTTTGAAAAGCTAATGTTAGCTTTCTCACAAAGACATGTTTACCTCTGCTCAGATATCCACATCAGTTGCTTTGCTTGCTTAGCTTTCAGGCAAGCGAATAGTGATGTGTCGGTCACGAACGAACCGGCTCTAAGAGCCGGCTCTTTGAAGTGAACGACGGGAGCCGGCTCGTCATTGGGAGCCGTCCCCTCCCCTCCCCCCTCCCCTTTTGCTTTGGTGAAAGCCACGGGTGATTGGTCAGCATGTGTAACTGCGTGTCCAGACTGTCCACACACAGAGCAGTAGGGGCGGGGAAGAGGGAGGGTAAGACTCAGACACACAGCAGAGCACATGTGGGCGGAGGCAGACGAGAGGGAATGAGGAGGAGGAAAAAGGCGAGCGAGAGAGAGGAGAGTGCGACGAAGACGGTGAGAAAATGAGCGCCAGCAGTCGGAAAGTGGAGATTTCTGAAAGTGTTCAGTTATTAAATCCATAGAAATGATAAATATTTGATATAGCATTTTTTTACATTAGTAAATCATTTTACACATAGTTTTGCATTATTTTGGTTATAAATGTACTTTACGCAACAGAAAATCTGAGGAGCCACTTGGGAGCCGAAAGAGCCGGCTCTTTTTGGTGAGCTGAGCCAAAAGAACCGGCTCTCTAAAAAGAGCCGGAATTCCCATCACTACAAGCGAAGGCCGCTGTTTTCTGCCGCCCCCGCGAATTTTCAGCCAATCGTAGTAAAGCCCATCTAGCCAATCAGAGGCGAGAAAGGCGAGACCTTCCTTGGTCACCCTAGAATTCCAAAAGACGCGTCCGGTCCTGGTGGGAACCGCCCAGCGATGACGTAATGTCATGATTATTAAACAGGTTGTCTGGCGGTCGGGAGGCGCCGGAGTCAGCATCCCTCCTGCCTCCACATCGTTCACCAGCATCTCTCGGCAGCATCCGATACACCAGCGGAGGACAAACGAGGTAAGATGTTCATCTGCTGGATAGTTATGATAGTTAGACAAAAGCGTGAGAAGATGACGTGGCTGAGTCATCCTGAAGGACGAACCCCGAGCGAGCTCCTTGTTTGGTGTACAGGCCACCAACGTGAGCTGGTCCACTGTTGCTGCCTTCAAGTGTTGTTGTAGAGCAGCTTCTTCCTTTCCTTCCTTTAGATGCTGAATAAGAGCTGATCAGAGAACAGCTGATTCTTGGTTTTCAAAAACAAACCAAAGCAGCAAAAGAAGCGATGCTGCTCTGAGAATGCCTTCAATCATTTAGAGCGCGTACCTCTGGCCTCCATCACTCCACCCTGAGTCATCCGGCGATGAGATGATGGCTGACAGGAAGCAGCTCTGCTGTTGCACCGGCCTTCACGAGGTTTGTTGTGATTGAACTGGTCTGGGATCAGAATAACAGCGCGGTTGAACTGGCTGCCTGCCTCTTCAGCTCAGTGACATCTCCCGCACCCAAAGTGCGCCCTTTGAGCGCATGTGACGCAAACGTGCACCGTGTAATTGAGCTGCAGTTGATGTAAAACAAAGGCTCCGAGGGTCCGACTGCGGGGTTTTTGCTGGTGACCCGCAACTTTCCTCTGACAGAAGCTGTAATTTCCTGTCTTGCCTCTGCTCTGTAGCTATGGGGAGCCGATTGTAAAACACTGCACTAAATAATTCAAAAGTATTTATTATTATTATATATTTTTTGCTTTTGGCTCAATTTAAAGGAACATTATGTAAGGCACAAGAGTGAAATAACACGGCTCAATCATGCTGGGACAAAGGTTGGGGGGTGGAGGTGGGTGGGGGTGGGGTGGGGGTGGGGTCTCATCTCATGTAGTGCTCACCTGTACTTGTGCACTTGTCCTTGTGAAACGTCATCAGCTATGGTCAATTACCGTTCTAGTGTCAGGGCAAGTGCGCTAAGAATTCCTGTACGTGTCTGGCTCCACTCATCATCGAGGATGAATTTAATGCATCCTTCAGCAGAGTACTGCAGTACTCAGATCATCCACCAGAGGGAGAAGAGGGGGTGGAGAATTGCATTCTGCAGGTTTTGTGGAAATTACTAATGATGCGGAGGAGCTGGAGCTCTAGAAATAGAGGAGTGTTTTAAATGTTGGCTTATTAAGGGAAATTTTTATTAATTATTTTATTTTGATGGACATGTAAAGAAAATTAGCCATATTAAGCTCTTCCCTTTCAACGTGTTATGTGTTTGTTTCCCAGGGGGCATGGATGTTCCTGAGGATGAGCTGATCCTCTGACACCATGATGAACCCATCCTCTGCCGACTCATCTCGGCAGCCAGATCATAGCAGCCGCAACCAGCAGCGATCGTCATCCCCAGCGGGTCTCAAAGAAACCGGATCTAAATCTGCACAGAAAGGCAGCAGTTCAGCCAAGCTCAAGCAGGGAGGAGAAGGAGGAGGAGGGAGAAACAGCCGGGGTCATTCCCCCGTTTCCATCGGCAGGGAGCGGCAGGCTGGAGGCAGTGCTCCCGTCAGAGGAGCGGCTGCTGTCCAGCATGCTGGTGCTGAAAGCCCGACGTTGAGCAGGGCCGCGGCCGCTGTACCGGCAGCATTAGACCCTCCCCGTCCTGTCACAGAGGCTTCCACCCCCTCAAGAGCTGATCCGAGTCGCGTCGTCTCAGACCAACCGTGCGCTTCCAAATCCCCCAAACTGAGAAGCAAAAAGCCCAAAGGAGAGGAAGCTGCAGCGGTCACGAGCAAGAAGAGTTCCAAAAGTACAGTGGGCTGTGGACCCGGCTTCTGGAAGGAGGGATGCTTGCAGTCAGAACTGATACAGTTCCATCTGAATAAGAGCCTGGGCAAGAAAGGGACAAAGATGCAGGCGAAGTCAACGTCTCCACCCACATCAGAGCCGGAACTGTCCCCAGAACCAGACAGTCCACAACGGGCTCCACGCTCAGACCAGAGGCTGCAGGACGAGATCGAGAGGCTGGAGGACGAAAATGAGGATCTAAAGGTGAATGGAGACATGTCCTGTAAAACGATACGTGAGCACCATTGCGTTTGCAAAGATGCTAAAAGAGCTTATCTTGTTCATTCATGTCTGTGGAGGGAAGCTGGCCTCAATCATTTTCATGTGCACTTTATTTTTCACTAGAATGAAATCGAAGAGATGCGAACAGAGATGGATGAGATGCGAGACACTTTCTACGAAGAGGATGCTTGTCAGCTGCAGGACATGCGCAGAGAGCTGGAGAGAGCCAATAAGAACTGTCGGATTCTCCAGTACCGGCTCAAGAAGGCAGAGAGAAAGAGGCTCAGGTTCACTGAAACGGGCCAAGAGGATGGAGAGCTGCTCAGAAGTCTGGAGCAGGACCTGAAGGTGAGTCAGGCAGCTCATCAAAAGATCGGGGAGCTTTTCAGCCGTCTCTCATTTTTAAAATGTTGTTTTGGCCATGCGGCCAGGTGGCAAAGGATGTGTCAGTGCGCTTGCACCATGAGCTGGAGACTGTGGAGGAGAAAAGGATGAAGACGGAGGAGGAGAACGAGAAGCTGAGGCAGCAGCTGATAGAAGTGGAAGTCAACAAACAAGCCCTGCATAACGAACTGGAGAAAGCCAAAGAGGTGGGCTACTTTTCATCTCACGTATTAAATGTGCAGACGACAAAATGTAATTCTAGAGGATGTGTGAGGTGCAGGAGAAGCTGAGCAGAGCTTTGTCAGACGTACATGCACGAGTGCAGCAAACGTGCAGGAACATGCACAGAATTAGCTGCAAATGGGTGTGTGCATTTTAAGATGTTGCACATATGTTATCTTTATTATTTAGACCTAATGATGGCTGGGCTGCTCGACGTAAGTACACACCTGAATGACGTCAGTGTGGGTATGTTCATGGTTCCTGTTTCAGGTTGTTTTTAAGATCAGTGCTTAGAAAGAAGAAACGTCTTCTTCCAATCATTAGAAATATTCCTAGGGATGAGTATAACCAGCACATCTGGATCAGTTGACCTTTTATTATTTTTCTCCAGCTCTCATTGAAAAGAAAGGGAAACAAGGATGGCCAGAAAACAGAGAGAAAGGCCCAACAAACCCCGGTCGAGGTAGGTCGGATGTAGTCTCTGCTGGATTTGTTGAGCTATCACATTTTCTGTTAACATCACTAAAAACAAAACATGCATATTAAACAAAGGTGGAAAAAATAAAGAAGATATGTCAAGAACGCATCGTTTTTTATTTTGAATTTAAAAGCCACAATTTTCTCCAAATCATTCAACACAAATAACCAGGATGGTTTCTCTACAGGAAGAAAACGAGGACCTAAAGTGTCAGCTGGCCTTCATCAAGGAGGAAGCCATCCTGATGAGGAAAAAGATGGCAAAGATTGATAAGGAGAAGGATCGACTGGAGCAGGAGCTGCAGAAGTACCGCTCCTTCTACGGGGACGTGGACAGCCCTCTGCCCAAAGGCGAGGCCGGAGGGCCTCCCACCACCCGTGAGTCAGAGCTGAAGCTCCGGCTGCGTCTGGTGGAGGAGGAGGCCAACATCTTGGGGAGGAAGATAGTGGAGCTGGAGGTGGAGAACAGGGGCCTGAAGGCCGAACTGGATGACATGAGGGAGGACAGGTACATTTGTTTTACTTTAACTCACATAGAGGAGAACTGAGTTATCTGTTACATGAAAACCCCTTTATTTATGTTTGAGTTAATGTGAAATCCTGGTTTTGTAGTCTGGCAGCAGCAGGAGTGGACGGCTCAGGCAGCGGGGTTCATCAGAGCAGGGAGCACGGGGAGGCCCTGTCTGAACTGAGGCTGCAGCTGCAGCTGGTGGAAGACGAGGCAGAACTCCTTCGGCGAAATTTAGCAGATGTAGAAGATGAGAACAAAAAGGTAGGTTGAGTTCTACTCAGCTATGCAATACATTCACTAGATTTTAGTCAAGAACAAACCGTTCATCTGAAAGCAGCAACGATGGTTTTGTCCTGCTTTTAAAAGGTGCAATATGTAAGAATGAAATAAGAGTGACATCCTGTGGTCAAATGTGGGCACTGCAGTTCATTTTTCTAAACAAAGCTCAGTTTCTCACTGCCGTTCCGTGAGTTTTGTGGCTGTTGCCAGTTACAGATCCGCACCAGAACATTTTAGATGACAATCAAAGACGAGTCATACACAGTAAGTTGATAAGTAGATATTGTTATATTTTACATAGATTATGATGCTTTATCTGGTGTTTGCACTTCTGGGTGTTTTACAGTAGGGGGCACTTACTACACTTATTATGGTAAAATGCCTCCAGCATTACAGGAAGTGTTGTTCTTGGCGTCTTGTTGTTAGCTTTCTGTTAAAGTTCTGAAAGACTCATTAAAGGAAGTTAAACACCACAGCTGACTCATTATCCAATATCCACACATTTCACTGTAATAACAGGTTGTTGGTAATTGAAAAATAAGCTTTAGTATTTTTAGAGCCGACTATTTGCTTCTAATTCATTGTTAGCTCAATGTTAGCCTCCAACCTGCTTCACCCAACATTAGAGTAAAACAAAAAGCTGCCGAGCTTCTTAGGGCTACAAGAAATAATGTCTGGGCCACTCCGGTTTACTGGCGTTGGTTCTTTAAACAAGTCTGAAGCTTTTAGCCTGCCAGCGTTGAAAGTGGCGTTTGCCCAGCACAGACTTGGCAACTAGGTGGGCTCTTTGATTGTAAACAGCAACTTTTTGGAAAGGAGGACCTGCCAACCCCCCAGCTGACTGAGACTTACATTTGTTTTAATGTAATCTTCCTTCCAACACAATTCAGACATTAGACTCTTTTGTGATTATTTTCCTGTACAATTCTTACATGTTGCTCCTTTAATCATGCTGACAAAAGTCATTGGTGCAATCAGACCGTCTGAGTAAAATTTTTTGTTATCTGACCAACACGTTTTTGTAGAACAATTACAAAAATACTGTTGAATCTTCAGGTGACAACGGAGCTCAATAAGCTGAAATACAAGGCTGGGTCCCATGAAGCTGGATCAAGACACGGCGGAGGTTTGTTTTGTTCATATTTTTGTCTTTGCTCTGATCTGATTGGATCTTCTCATTAGAAGATGGTAAAGGTGAGCAGATTTTTCTCCAACCCTCAGGAGGAGGTGACGCGACTAAGGTGGAGGCCCTCCAGGAGGAGCTGAAAGCAGCTCGCATGCAGATCAATGAGCTGAGCGGCAAAGTCATGCAGCTCCAGTACGAGAATCGTGTTCTGCTCTCCAACATGCAGCGTTACGACCTGGCCTCCCACCTGGGCATCCGCGGCAGCCCCCGGGACAGTGACGCGGAGAGTGATGGGGGACGGGAAGACGACATGCCTTCAGCCTCAGCCGTCTCTCCCTGCCTCCTCCCACCCCATCGCAAGCGTGAGGGTCCCATTGGAGGGGAGAGTGACTCGGATGAGGTGAGAAACATCCGCTGCCTCACCCCTACGCGTTCCCTTTACTCACCTGTAGACAGCCGTTTTTTATCCAGAAGCCTGAGGGACCGGCAACAAATGATAGACATCCGCATTGAAGCGGAGAGGCTGGGCCGGACCATCGACAGGCTCATCGCTGACACCAGCACTATCATCACAGAGGCCCGAGTTTACGTCACCAACGGAGAGCTGTTCACTCGGCTGGATGAGGATGAAGAAGGTGGCAGGTGAGACACTGGGATTTATTTTTAAGATGATCCTTGTATGTCAAAGACTTAATAGTTCTTCTGCTCCTCAGGATCAGAGAGCATGAGCTGCTGTATCGCATCAACGCTCAGATGAAGGCCTTCAGGAAGGAGCTGCAGACCTTCATAGATCGACTGGATGTCCCTAAGCAGGAGGATAAACAGGCAGATGAGCCGCTGTCTGTAAGCTAATGCTAACACATTTAGCTTGACTGGTGTGAAGATTTGATGTTCTGACTGCCTTTGCTCTGCTCTCCACTTCTCTACACCCACAAAGATGTTTCAGCCCATTATTCTGCTCATCCTCATCCTTGCTCTGTTCTCATCTCTTTCATATGCCACCATTTTCAAACTGGTTTTTCTTTTCACCCTCTTCTTTGTTCTGTAAAGCACGAGTTCAGATCGACCCATTTATGCTTTTGTTGTTGCTTTTGTTATTATTTGGGCTTTTTCATTCATCATTTCAAGTCTGTTATGTTGAACACAGCAAAGACTCACTCCGGGCATGAGGCACTTTCACTTTCCAAAGCATCCATCTGCTGGGAGGCTTTCAGCACGAAACCCGGGAACGCCGAGGAGGGCTTAAGGTGAGTTTTTCTGTTCTCTGAATGTGAGCAGCGATCCAACAGGAATGCTGACACTGCAGCCGTCACATTTTTATATCAGCTCAGTTTTTTATTTACTTAAGGAAAAAAGAAGCTTACCTTGTTTTTGTCTTTCCCTGCACGACGACGAGCCACGTCCTACGCGAGACAGGTTTTACTAATGTGCCTGAATCCAAACCAAAGATCAAAGCCAGACACTTTAAACAAAGTCTCAAACCTGCACCCCAGATTTAATGCTAACGGCCACAAGCGCTGCTTTTGATTCTCCAGTTATTCAGTTTGTAAGTTTACAATTAGGATAGGCCTACTAATTAATTTGATTTAATACACAATGTATTTCAATCCAAACGAACACAAAAATAGCCAACTTTTAATGAAATATAACGTCTAATAATGCAATAAACGATTAGTGTGGAACACTGAAAACCCATTTTTAATGATCATTTCTGATCCTAACGGGTCACACTGAGTGTTTCATGCAGGCTGAACATGAAAATAGTCTCCTACACCAATCTCCTGCATTAGCCTCTGATAGAAAACAGACGGTGAAACCCTAGGATTAGAAAAGCCTGACAGATCTACGTCACACTGTCACTAACATTCACGGACTCACCATCTTGGCTCACGGCGGGGAAGACTGTTGTTGGTTTAGCGTCCAGGAAACAGCAGAGAACATCTCAGCTAGTAGAAGCTAACCGTTAGCATTAGCAACTCCACCACACAGCAGAACTCCTCCAGGCTTGTGTTATTTGTGGAGATGAATGTTGCAGAGCAAACAGAGTCAGTGGTAGAGTTGTGTTGCTGTTAGCCAATCAGAGGAGAGATGTCTGAATATCGGGATGTAAAACTCCAGATCCTGTTGTGTTCTGTTCTCCTCTGACGTGGCAGCCTTGTCTGTGCTGATGCAGGCGTTTCTGGGCTTTCTATGCCCTGAGTGGGGCCTACAAGGTGTTCATTCCTATCAGAGACCTCTGCAAATGTACAGTTTCCCACATCATGCGTTTAACTTTTATATTAAACAGCTACAAAAGCTATTTTTCTCTCTCGATTCCAAGAAGTCTAATATACGGTATTACCACAGGTTCAGCTTCATTTACCTTCCTTTAATATCACCAAACTATATGAAATAAACTGTGATCAGCAAGTATAAAGAACTCACAAACAAGATCAAATCATGTTAAAAATCAGTAAACAGCTATGAAAGCAACACGTTTGATGTGATTTTAAATGCTCACTAGAACTTTTTACAACTCGCAGCCAGCACAGATCCTCCCTACGCCAGGTGCAGCTCCCGCACATGGCCAGTTGATTTTTAACGCAGCTCCTCCGCATCTCGAACAGCATCCTTTTATTTGTCCCATTTTGAACCTTGGATGACCTCGTTCCACCTGCCTGGATGCTGCCTCACTGTTAGGAACTCAGCTCAGAACTCCCCAGCTGCTGCAGAAACCCTCATCGTGGAATCTGGGCATCTGGGATCTTCTGAGAAAGTCGATTTTTATTTCTGTTTGTTGTAAAGCAGCAGCGGGCCAGCTCCACCCTTCAGTGAACATTTCCTTGCCATGTGACCTAGAACATTTCTTGTCATTAAAATAGAGACATAGTCCAGCTTTGTCTTTGGCTCATCAGTGATGCCCACATCCATGGGCGTAATATTTGGGGGGCAAAGGGGGACATGTCCTCCCACATTTCCACAAGGCTGTTTGGATTTATTCATTAATTCTATTTATTTTGACTGAATTGAGGTAGAAAGATAAAACTCGGATCATCAGCAGTTTTTGAAAAATGTATTGAAAGCATTGTTGAATACACTTTTCATTACATTGTAAAGGTGGTTTGATGTTTTCATGTTTACAAGATGTTGTAGTTTGTTCAGTTAAGGTACTGGCCAGAATGGCTTCACCAGAGGATTCCATATCTTTATTCTTCGTCCAAGAACATTTATGCGGCTCAAACGACTGGGTACACCCCCGCAAACTATACATCAAAACGACCGGCTTGGCCGTGGGACACGTGCCAAAACTTTTTTAAGAAATCCGATGTACCATGGCGACGTAATTTGCAAAAAACTTTGTAAAATATGCACTCTCAGTTTGCATGATTAATCAAATAATTAATTATGTACATAATAATCACTTTTCACAAAATGAAAAGTAATACATACATTTGGGCCTGTCAGGTCTGACCAGCATCCTCCCCCACCATCAAAGCCAACCAGGTAGCGGTCAGTTGACAGCTCCGCCCCTCTCCGCCACAGGTCAGGTGAAACAACAACAAAGTCGATCATCGAACTGCATCCTGAGGTGTCCTGCTGCCAAGAGCAGATCAGAGGGCCGTTCCTCCCAACCACACCTCTCCAGGGCTAGCTGTCGTTGCCCATATGGGCGTTAAAGTCCCCCAGCAGAACGAGGGAGTCACCAGAGGATCGAAGACACGCTCATTAAGTTTTTTTTCCACAAGCCACTTCTGAAGGTGTCTGTCCTCCACATGCCCATGTGAACGGTCAGGTGATCTGAGCTCCAGCTCTAACGGAGAGAAGCTCCCGGAGCTCTGCATCACTCCAGTGTATCATCTCAGCTGATTCGTTCAAAAAGCCTAACTTACGGCCGTGTTTACGTTCATTTTCATCACATTCTCGGCCGGAGCTCGGCAGTAACTCCTCATGTGATCTTGACTCCTCCATCTGTTGTGTCGAGGCATCATGCGCATTTACAAGTCTGGCGTTGTGGCAATATTACTACCAAGTGGGCCAGCAAGAATGCTTCAAAATTCCCGCATGGCGGCAGTATTATGCTGATTTGCCAGTTTGGTGCGTCTTCTAAAGGGTACTGCTCACTACCGCAGCTCTGCCCTCTCGGTCTACCTGGGGACGCCTCCTAATGGTGCATTTTTCATACTTGAGATGTGGGTGGAGTGTGGCAGGGAGGAGAGACAGGGGCCGGGGTGAGATTCAATCCCCGGACTCCCGGACGAGAGTCACACGCCCTAACGTGTCAGCCAAATGGACATTCCCGTGTCCAGGTGGCCAGAGCACATGATCAGTCGGGATATAGAGACAGGACTGATGATACACACCCTTTAATAAACGGTTTCTCATTGAAGAACATCTTTGATGTCTCGTTTGGGCCTCTTTACAGTATATACGATGAGCTTTTAGTTGCTTCATTCTGAGGTTTGAGATTTGAGCCTCTGGTGGAGTTCTGTGGGCTTTAGGACATGTGCACTGTGCTTGTGAGAGAGAAACTCCGGCATCGAGCCTTTTTGGCTCCTGCTTCTGCCTATTAGATAGTTCAACAGTGTTTTACCCACACACACACGCTGTGGTTGCGCAACATTCTGGGCAGAATAAAAATGGATCTGGGTGGGGTCTGAAACCACAACAAAAATGTGCACATGGGGGGTTTGAGTGACCACTGCTATGGGGGTGGAATTGGTCCACCTCCCTCATGGCACCGGTGGGATGTCTCAAGTCCCACAGCTGTACCGGGCCAGCTGTGGGAGGAAGAGGGGGAGGAGGAGAGAGGCGGGATAGGAGAGAGGGAGGAAGGGGAATTTTATTCCAGTTCATGAAAGCATAATTTGAGCTGCAGCTCTGCGGTTGCTTTCACCTATCCAGTCGCTGAAATGTGAGGATGCTGAGTCTGACCCGGCGTGAGGACGTTTATCACGGTAAGAGCTGCTGCGCACGCGCTGGGATAGATAACAGGTTGTCAGTCACCTGAGAGAGCTGACTTAGTTTATGTACTCTGACCTGAACTTGATTTGGTAAAAAAACAACAACGAAAGGCATCAGACAGCTGAAAGCTTTAGACCTAAAACCACACCCTCCGTTTCCTCGTGACCGTCAGCCCTCTCCATCTAAAGATGTTTTATTTACAGCTGAGGAAAGCTTTCATGTACTCTCCCAGCCTTTTGCTCAGTTCGATTCTCTGAAACAGATTTGCTGCTTAGCGGTCACCGCCACGCGGGTCGGGATTGATTTGTTGCCATGGCTACGGCGCAAGGTGGCGACATAATTAGAGGAGACGGCGTTGATTCCCAACAGCCTCCTCCTGAAGGCGTCGTTCAGCTTTGGGGGAAAATAAAACTCCCGGTTACAAGGCGGTAAAAATACTCGGGCGCCCTTGCAGCAGTGCTCTCCGGGATATTTTTGGTCCGCGTCCCGCCGTGTTTACTGGGCCGCCTCTGCTCGGGGCTGTCGCCTGGAGCGCGGAGGCAGCGGACGGACCGTCCCGGGAGCTCAGCGCAAACATGGAGCAGGAAAACGGTGCAGGTGGATAAGCAGGGCCGGGGGGAGGTCGTCACGGGGCTCGGGCGCAGCTATGGGGGAGAAAACAGCGTCCAGCCCCGTCGCCGGTGTCGACTCCCCTGTGCTGCTGCTGGCTGGCCCCAGCGGGATCTGGCCCGGTTCGGATAGCACAAACACCCCGGGACGTTTGTCTGAACTTTTCACTTCTAAGACGGACTTTTAGTGGATTTTTTTTAGTGATTTGACTTTACAACACTTCGTCCAGGTTTACGGTTTTATCTGAATGCGCGTGGCGGATGTGGAGTGCGTTTATTAACGGTGCGGGGCTGCACGGTGGGGGCGGCGGGGGGGTTCCGTCCCATGGATGGGAGTTCCTTCCCCGGTCCAGGATGGAGAAGACCGACAGGGGCAGGGGCAAGACCCGCAGCCCGCTGAGGAGGATCTCATCTCCACCCACTGTCTTCAGTCACATCCAGGAGCCCAGAGGAGAGGGTGGAGCAGCAGGGGCCCAGATAGAGGTCCTCAGGGGACAGATGTGGCCAGGCTCCGAACCCCAGCAGCACCAGCAATCCCGGCTTAAAAAAAAACTGGAAGATCTGAAAAAGAGACACATTCAGGACAAAGAGGAGTGGATGCGGGAGAAGGAGTCCTTGTTGAGAGAAGTGGCCAACATACAAGTAAATGCGACCTGTGAAGGCATCACCTGTCTTATTGTTAAAATACACAATCAGAACACTCATCATTCACCTTGATGTGGGACCTGAGTTGGCTCTGCTTTAGCTAAGCACAGCAGGGTTTTTTTTTGTTTTCATGCAGGGCGGGGAGAACCGGAGAATTCTGCTGGACCTGAAAACGGTTCTGGAGGAAGTGCAGTCTGAGGTGAAGAGAGAGGAGGAGAAGAGGAGCGAGCTGCAGCTGCAGTACACTAGAGACAGATGTGCCTGGGAGCTGGAGAAGGCCGAGCTCAAGTGCAGGATCGCTCAGGTGAGAGAGGGATGGGCGATGGTCACCTGAACCAGCTTGTTTTCTGGAGTTTAACAGGGAGAGGTCACCTCCACAGACCCCTAGAGACAGAGAACACGTTTAGACCTGCTTAGCCAGTCACCGACACTTATCTGGGCTTTTAACTTCAAGCTCCGAGTAGATTAGTTAGCCCAGCTACGTTCAAACATCAGACACGCTTTGTTGTAATACCAGTGCCATGCTGTACCAGGACATGTAGAGAGGAACAAACATGGTGGGCTGTTGTTCAGAGTCGCACAGCTTGAGGGGTTTAGCACACTTTCTCTCAGATCAAACATGGATTTAAGAGGCTGCACCAAAGAAGTTTAAGCCTTTCTTTCTGTGTGTGTGTGTGTGTGTGTGTGTGTGTGTGTGTGTGTGTGTGTGTGTGTGTGTGTGTGTGTGTGTGTGTGTGTGTGTGTGTGTGTGTGTGTGTGTGTGTGTGTGTGTGTGTGTGTGTGTGTGTGTGTGTGTGTGTGTGTGTGTGCGTGCGTGCGCGCGCGCGTGCGCCTTTCTTTCTGTGTGTGTGTGTGTGTGTGTGTGTGTGTGTGTGTGTGTGTGTGTGCGCGTGCCTTTCTTTCTGTGTGTGTGTGTGGGTGAGTGTGTGAGACGAGAGATGACAACAGTTGTCTTTGTCATCTGAGCCCATGTGATTCCTATCTCTAGAACCCTCCCACACACAGGCAGCTTTTCTGATGGCGACTGAAGTAAGAAAGCTCAGAAAACACAGAGTTAAAGGAACGGAGCGATCCTGCAGAGCAGCCGGAAGAAACCTCAGATTACAACAAAACAAAAAGAACGTAACATTTCCTTTAACACAAAAACGGGCTCTGCTCAGTCGACCTGTTTGTGTTTAAATGATCAAGATCCACCCTCTTTGGAGTGGACATGCACACGGACATGCATCAGTACAGTTCTCCAGTCTGATTACACAAACAGAACCAGGTCAATGGGTCTATTGTCTACAGGCCACATCCTGCCGGTGTGTGTTTACCAGTGACTGTCTGGGGTTCTGCATCACGACCGTAAGAGCATTCTAAAATAATCTTCAACACACTTATTATGTTCCAGATTTACACTCAGACTGGTGCAACTCAAACCAAAGGCTTGTTTCATCAAATTCAAGCAAGTAAGACGATCAGTAATATGACCTTGTACCATGTTTTTTTTGTTAAAAATTACAGGTCAATAGTTGTCTCTCTACAGGGGCCATTGAATCCTCATTCACCTTGTTGGCGTCATCCCAACCTGCTTTCCTATGTAAATGAGTTGTTTTGCTATGGTCACGTAGAATCTGTTCGTTCAGACAAAAGCTGCTTAAACGCATAATAATCAAGACACACGTGCTTTAATCTGCACATCCCAACGCACTTAATCATCAGCGATACATAAACGTTGGCCACGGTAACTGCAGAACAACACTAGCCCAAGCTACTGCTAACGTCCTTGTTGGACGAGAGTAAAACGTTCCAGGATCTACTGGGAATATCCAGCGTAACGAATCCCAGATGGATCCAAAGCTTTTCTGTTGGGTTATCCAGATACTGCATGCAGAGCTTCTGGCTGCCTGCAGCATCATAGAGCCATTTGGGCAGGCCGGCCAATCAGCACTCAGCTCATTTAATATTCACGTCCTGGCTGAGTGGGCGGGGTTAACCAGTCTGTCCATTGCAGGGCATTATTATGGGGTTGTGTTTGGCCATTTATCAGGGCTTCTGGGACATTTTAAACCCCAACACGGCACCACAGGCTTTAGGGGCTCAGTGAACAGTTTCCAGTTGTAAAAAACGTTTAATAATAAAATTCCTGTGTTGCTGCTGCTGAATAGCAGGAGTTCAACAGCTAGTGTGTTTGTAGCTTGAACATTGGCCCAGATTTAGCTGAAACTCAAACATTTTCCAATAATTGTAGTAAACATGCAGAAAGACGAGTGTTTTAGTGCAGTCACGTGACTTGTGCCGTCCTGGCTGGTTCAGCTGAGCTCTGTTTACGGCCTCCTAATGAGACCGTTTGTATTCTGGCCAGCTAGAGCCACTGTTCCTGCTCTCTGAAGAGTAAAAGCAGAGGTAGTGGGGTCTTCAACGATAACTAAGAGATGGTGTTCTGTTTTTAGTGAACCTGCATTTCGTCTGGATACTGTCACACTGACATTTTTATATCAGGTGGTGATTGTGATTAGTGTGAGGAACAAGAGAGCAACGAGCAGATCGGGAGAAGGGACCAACAAACTGAATGAAACCGAGCAACCAAATCCATAATAATGCTTCAGCTCACAAAACACCAAGTGGGTCAGTTGAACAGCTTTCAGTTAGTTTTTGTTGAAGCTATGTTTCAGGCATCAGCGTCTCACATGTGACTCTAAATACAGGAATTAGAGTTCACCCGACCGCTTTGGGCTCTTTAGGAGGACAATGACTGGTATTTGGGTTCATTTTTAAACTAAAAGTCTGTCTCGGGTATTACATTCAGTTCAAAAATCACTTCTCAGGATTCTCCTGAACAAGCCTTGAATCCACATGTCACATCCCGCGGTCGTCCACAGCTGACGCCAGAATATGAATGCTGTTAAGTTGTTCCCATTTCCCTTTTGGGCGACTTCCACCACCAAATACCAGGAAACAACCAAGGTCCCAGGCTGGGGCTTGGATGGGTATTTCCAGGCATATTTCTTGGCGTGACCCTGATTTATGACTGCTGCTGGCAGCTAGGAGACATCTCACTCTGCTTAGCACCCCCTTAACTCTCCCGCCTCCTCTTGGAATGTGACATTGTACAAGTCTGAGTGTCCGCTATTTATAGTGGGTCACCCTGGTGACACAGTTACCTTTATAAACCCCTGTGGCACACAGCGACGGGCTCTGAGGGGCTGAAGGTTCTCTTTCAGACTGATTTGAAGGTGTAAATGCGTTAGTTCACCAGCATCCTGATGATCTGTGTCTCTGAGGGGATAATTCACAGTAAAATCATCAGTCAGCTCTTCGATGTGACTCCAAGCATCTTGCTTTTGCATTTTGACTCTGTGTACGTCGGATGTTTAAACGGCCGTGGACGGCTCCCTTTGCCGACCGTCTCTAATTGCTGAGAGCGTCGAGCAGAGCCACAGGCAGACAGAAGGCTTGTTTCTCTGCACCATCATTTCATGACCTCAGGCCACAGGCAGAAATAGCACCAAGGCTTGTGAGAAGGCTTTGGTTCACGTCTGTGGTGCAAACAGAAATAACGCATTCCAGCGTGCTTGTACGCACCAAATCTCAAAGAAGCACCGGGATATTTCTGCACACACAGGCGTTGTCTTGGGACTCTTCCAGTCCCAAAGCCAACTTTTTTTTTTCTAAAAGCAACAAAGCTTCTCATTTACCACAGAATGTACAAATGTGAAAACACGCTCTGGTTTTAGGTTGCCCAGAGCCTCTCGTGCTCTCACAACTCTTCGTTACAGCCTTTAAGGGGTTTGCATCTTGGCTCAGGTCGAACGCAGAACCTTTGCTGTGGGTTTAGGTAGAACTTTTTCACCCAGAGATAAAACGGTGACAAAAGGGCATCTTTTTATCATAAACTCAGTGAATTTGTTTTACCAAGAGTTAAGTGTTATATAAGTGAACCCTGGTGTTTTTAGAGGAGGGATGATCTTTGTTATTCTTGAAAGCCGGATCACCAGAAAATGTCTGGCATTAGCCCACACCTGCAGACTTGCGCTGCCGTGCCTGAATCCACCATTTCCTGCACTGCATCCTGTGTTCGTGAAGAACCACAGAAAAGAAACTTGACCCCTGAACCCTGGAACCAGCTGTGTGTGTGATATTTCTCTCTTCCCGCCTACCAACCCTCTCGCTCATCCCCGTGGTACATTATCCCCCCACTTCTTCATCCTCGCTTCCTGCCACTCCTCAATTCTCTTAATTCCACTTTCTACATTTTCTCCCCCTCCCCGTGTTACTGTATATGTCTTGTCATCTGGCTCTCATCGTTTTCTCCCACTCTTCCCTTCTCATATCACCTTTCTCTCCCCCTTTGTTTGTCTTTAAAGCTGGAGGCTAGAGAAGCTACGGGCTTGGTGAGCGGAGGACTGAAATCAGGAGCAGGTCTTGGATCTGTGACGTCTCGGAGCCCCCAAGAAACCACCAGTGAGACGTTGACGCACCGCAGGGAGAGGGAAGAGCAGTGTAGGGTCCTGGCCGACACCCATTCAGCAGCCATGGACCTGCGCTGCCGTCTGGAGCACAGCGAGAGGGACTGGTTACGGGAGAAAGCCGAGCTGCTAGAGAGGTTTGATGTGGAGAGAAGAGAGTGGGAGTGTCAGCTGAAGGACATGCAGAGGAAAATAGAAGAGGTGAGAATGTAATGTTTTCTGAGGTTCACGTTTTGCTTTGAAACACCTGCAGTGGGAAGCATTCCCTTTATACCAACAACCCACTAAATAACGTCCCAGATGTGTGCAGCTGCAGAGACAAGCTGACTGGCTGGTTTTCCCATCTCTTGAGTGCAAAGACAGGAAGTTATTGAGACGTGACCTGGAGCAGGGATGATTTTTAGCAGAACTGTGTCAGGAATAAGAAAAACATGCAAATCAATTCACGCTGGAGTTTTTATGTCATTTATAAAAAGGTTTATTTAAATGAAAGATAAAACTTTAAAAATTGTTTCCATATAAAAATAAGATCTAAATGCCATTAGAAAATGTTTGGAATCCGAGGATGTGACTTTGATGACTTGGAGGAATTTAGTACGTGTGTTGATATAAAAGGTTTAAATTCAGTCACTCAACAGGACGGGACAGACCCGATCAGAGTCAGAAACAGCAGTGATTTTACAACAGGTTTAAAAATGACCTCGTTACTCGTGTTTATCTTTATTTATGACCTCGTTACTTGTGTTTGTATCTTTATGACCTTGTTACTCGTGTTTATCTTTATTTATGACCTCGTTAATCGTGTATGTATCTTTATTTATGACCTCGTTACTCGTGTTTATCTTTATTTATGACCTCGTTACTCGTGTTTGTATCTTTATGACCTCGTTAATCGTGTTTGTATCTTTATGACCTCGTTACTCGTGTTTATCTTTGTTTATGACCTCGTTACTCGTGTTTATCTTTGTTTATGACCTCGTTACTCGTGTTTGTACCTTTGTTTATGACCTCGTTAATTGTGTTTACCTTTGTTTATGACCTCGTTAATCGTGTTTGTGTCTTTGATTATGACCTCGTTAATCGTGTGTATCTTTGTTTATGACCTCGTTACTCGTGTTTGTACCTTTGTTTATGACCTCGTTACTCGTGTTTGTACCTTTGTTTATGACCTCGTTAATCGTGTTTATCTTTGTTTATGACCTCGTTAATCGTGTTTGTACCTTTGTTTATGACCTCGTTAATTGTGTTTCTTTGTTCATGACCTCGTTAATTGTGTTTCTTTGTTTATGACCTCGTTAATCGTGTTTGTACCTTTATTTATGACCTCGTTAATCGTGTTTGTACCTTTATTTATGACCTCGTTAATCGTGTTTGTACCTTTATTTATGACCTCGTTAATCGTGTTTATCTTTGTTTATGACCTCGTTAATCGTGTTTATCTTTGTTTATGACCTCGTTAATCGTGTTTATCTTTGTTTATGACCTCGTTAATCGTGTTTGTACCTTTGTTTATGACCTCGTTAATTGTGTTTGTACCTTTGTTTATGACCTCGTTAATCGTGTTTATCTCTATTTATGACCTCGTTAATCGTGTTTGTATCTTTGTTTATGACCTCGTTAATCGTGTTTGTACCTTTGTTTATGACCTCGTTAATCGTGTTTCTTTGTTTATGACCTCGTTAATCGTGTTTCTTTGTTTATGACCTCGTTAATCGTGTTTGTACCTTTATTTATGACCTCGTTAATCGTGTTCATCTTTGTTTATGACCTCGTTAATCGTGTTTATCTTTGTTTATGACCTCGTTACTCGTGTTTATCTTTGTTTATGACCTCGTTACTCGTGTTTGTACCTTTTTATGACCTCGTTACTCGTGTTTGTACCTTTGTTTATGACCTCGTTACTCGTGTTTGTACCTTTGTTTATGACCTCGTTAATTGTGTTTGTACCTTTGTTTATGACCTCGTTAATTGTGTTTGTACCTTTGTTTATGACCTCGTTAATCGTGTTTGTACCTTTGTTTATGACCTTGTTAATCGTGTTTGTGGATTTGTTTATGACCTCGTTAATCGTGTTTGTGTCTTTGTTTATGACCTCGTTAATCGTGTTTGTCTTTGTTTATGACCTCGTTAATCGTGTTTATACCTTTTGTTTATGACCTCGTTACTCGTGTTTGTACCTTTGTTTATGACCTCGTTACTCGTGTTTGTACCTTTGTTTATGACCTCGTTACTCGTGTTTGTACCTTTGTTTATGACCTCGTTAATTGTGTTTACCTTTGTTTATGACCTCGTTAATCGTGTTTGTACCTTTATGACCTCGTTAATTGTGTTTGTACCTTTATGACCTCGTTAATCGTGTTTGTACCTTTATGACCTCGTTAATCGTGTTTGTACCTTTATGACCTCGTTAATCGTGCTTGTACCTTTATGACCTCGTTAATCGTGTTTGTACCTTTGTTTATGACCTCGTTAATCGTGTTTGTACCTTTGTTTATGACCTCGTTACTCGTGTTTGTACCTTTGTTTATGACCTCGTTACTCGTGTTTGTACCTTTGTTTATGACCTCGTTACTCGTGTTTGTACCTTTATGACCTCGTTAATCGTGTTTGTACCTTTATGACCTCGTTAATCGTGTTTGTACCTTCATGACCTCGTTAATCGTGTTTGTACCTTCATGACCTCGTTAATCGTGTTTGTACCTTTATGACCTCGTTAATCGTGTTTGTACCTTTATGACCTCGTTAATCGTGTTTGTACCTTTATGACCTCGTTAATCGTGTTTGTACCTTTGTTTATGACCTCGTTACTCGTGTTTGTACCTTTGTTTATGACCTCGTTACTCGTGTTTGTACCTTTGTTTATGACCTCGTTACTCGTGTTTGTACCTTTGTTTATGACCTCGTTACTCGTGTTTGTACCTTTGTTTATGACCTCGTTACTCGTGTTTGTACCTTTGTTTATGACCTCGTTACTCGTGTTTGTACCTTTGTTTATGACCTCGTTACTCGTGTTTGTACCTTTGTTTATGACCTCGTTACTCGTGTTTGTACCTTTATGACCTCGTTACTCGTGTTTGTACCTTTATGACCTCGTTAATCGTGTTTGTACCTTTATGACCTCGTTAATCGTGTTTGTACCTTTATGACCTCGTTAATCGTGTTTGTACCTTTATGACCTCGTTAATCGTGTTTGTACCTTTATGACCTCGTTAATCGTGTTTGTACCTTTATGACCTCGTTAATCGTGTTTGTACCTTTATGACCTCGTTAATCGTGTTTGTACCTTTATGACCTCGTTAATCGTGTTTGTACCTTTATGACCTCGTTAATCGTGTTTGTACCTTTATGACCTCGTTAATCGTGTTTGTACCTTTATGACCTCGTTAATCGTGTTTCTTTGTTTATGACCTCGTTAATCGTGTTTCTTTGTTTATGACCTCGTTAATTGTGTTTACCTTTGTTTATGACCTCGTTAATCGTGTTTGTGTCTTTGTTTATGACCTCGTTACTCGTGTTTGTGTCTTTGTTTATGACCTCGTTACTCGTGTTTGTGTCTTTGTTTATGACCTCGTTACTCGTGTTTGTGTCTTTGTTTATGACCTCGTTAATCGTGTTTGTGTCTTTGTTTATGACCTCGTTAATCGTGTTTGTGTCTTTGTTTATGACCTCGTTAATCGTGTTTGTGTCTTTGTTTATGACCTCGTTAATCGTGTTTGTCTTTGTTTATGACCTCGTTAATCGTGTTTACCTTTGTTTATGACCTCGTTAATCGTGTTTGTGTCTTTGTTTATGACCTCGGTACTCGTGTTTACCTTTGTTTATGACCTCGTTAATCGTGTTTGTGTCTTTGTTTATGACCTCGGTACTCGTGTTTGTGTCTTTGTTTATGACCTCGGTACTCATGTTTGACCTTGTTACTCGTGTTTGTATCTTATGTGAGAATCAGTTCTTGAGTTAAAGACCGAAAAGTCACAAACATCGGAACAATTAACTCCAAACACGTGACTCTTGTTTTTCCCTTTTGGGATGAGAAAACGAGAGGAAACCGGGGATTAATCCCTAATCTGAAGGCATCTAGATATGACTCAGCGGCAGCGTAGCCCAGAAAACTGAAGGTGTTTCTGAGGTTTTTATCCGTCAGACATCTGACCGTATAAAGCGTCATTTAACAGGATTTTAGTAGTAAATGTTGGCGTCCTTCTGACATGCTTCCTCCAGATCTACACGATCAGGCAGAATCATGTTTTAAATGTTCTTTATTCCTTTTAATTGAAACTAAAACAAAAGTGGCTCCTTTCCAGCTGTGCTGTGAGGTGAGAGCCAACCGACGGGGAACCGGCCTGGACAGCAGGAAGCAGGATGACGCCGTGGGCCACAGACTCAGCCTTCGCTCCACCAGCACAGGCTCCAGTCTGCTCAGCGACAACTCGCGCTCGGAGCTGCTCAGCAGCAGCGCTCAGTCAGAACCAACCAGAAACCCCCCTTCACCTGGATGTGGACCCAGCAGGAACACGAGTGGTGACTCCTGCCTCCAAGCAGACATTCTTGGATTTAATGTCGGTGTTCCAGTGAGGTGCTGTGGCCCTGAGACGGTGGACGACTTCAGATCCAGAGAAAGCTGGCAGCAGGAAGCAGTCACTGATAACAGGAAGGCTGTGGACCCAACACAGCTGGAGACCTTTTACCCTGGAACATCTGGATGTGGAGTACTGCAGGACGACTTCTCTAAAGGACGTGAGACAGGTGTCCATGTCGGTCCTCATGAAGGCTCGTTTTGGGGAGGACTGAGTTACGGCAGTGAGAAGAACACCACTGCTCTCAATGCGGTGAGAGGTTTAATAGCCAAACATTAAATATAACACATCTGTGTTGTTGATTGGTTTGTTGTTCTGGTGTAAAGCGGGGATTCGTCCTCTCTCTCTCGCTCACCTTGTCTTCCTTCCTGTTTTAGGCTCTGAAGGAGATCGCCCGTGTGAGTGAGGAGCTGTGTAGCTACCAGGATGAGATCAGAAAGAAGGGTGGAGATCCGAGGTACATGATGATGATCACAATCTGCTACTTTGTTGCTGGAGTCAAAGATAATTCTGGTTTTTAATATCTTGCTTATGAAACGGTCATAACGAGGAGTCATTTATATTTAAATAATACATTTAAGACGTTTTTGGTCCTTGCAGGATTCGACCTGATTTCCTGCACCCTGCAGGAGGAGGCCATGACAGGAGCTGCCTAAAACCAGATGAAGCTCCTTGTGACCTCGGCCAGATTTACGACGACCTCCGGGCCTTGGAGAATGAAAACTGGATCACTTTGTCACCAGATCATACCTGGCAACCCAACAGAAGGTCGAGCACTTCCTGGACAGTAGAGCCAGCTAACCTGGTTAGCTACAGCAGCGTCGACGCAGCAGCACCACCCGTCCCTCCTCGCACCTCCTCCTGGAATCTGAGCACTCCTACTTCAGATGCAGAACTTCACATCCCAGAATCCCCCATGGCTACGCTGAGGAAGTGCCACAGCCCCTGTGTTCTAGTGGACAGGAAGTGTAGCAGTCCCTCTGTTGTCAGGAAGTTTGAGGCCATGCTGCAGGAGAATGAGGGAAAGATATTTAAAGATGGCATTTTGGCATCGTGCTCAGTGACGGCTAACTCCAACTGCAACGTGGGCTGCTGTCACAGCCGCTGGTCGTGTGAGGCCAGCAAATTCACCCACAATAAATCGTCTGCAGTTGGGACGGTCCAGAAAAGCTTCTCTGAAGTCAACATATCGACCGCTCGGAAAGATCTGGTTGTTGAGGAGGTACAAACGTCTGAGGATGTTGAAGAATTTCCTGTGGAGCTACTCCTCTCCGCGCTGGAAAAACCACCTGTCAGCCCCTCCCTCCAGGGCTCCAGGAGAAACCTGATGCTGGAGCGGAAAACCGCTGAGTTCAACAGAGCTTTGTTCCAAGCCGAGATGGGCCAGGGGGTAGACACGCAGGACCGTCTGACTGTAACAGAGACTGGCGCTGCAACGCTCCAGCCAGTCCTTACGTCATCTCAGGACATTTCAGCTCCTGAAGAGACATCATCTCAAGCCGTTTGTTCTGATTTACATCCCAAAGAGTCCGTATGGCATTCTGTCTCAACCTCTACTCCACAGATTCCCAATGAGCAGCCAGCTCTGGTCACACATGCTGCTGAAGTCCAGGATGTCATACTAAACCCAGAACCACCCGAACAGTCGCAGGCAGGACTCGGGGAGGCTTTGTCTTCTCAGAGTCCTCATCACCTTGTTGAGGTCGAGCACATAGCTCCTTCCAGGAAGTTGCAACAGAGGTCAGCCACAGATGCTCTTCTTTCAGAGTCTTTGGCTGTAAAGAGCCTGTCGGGTCAGCCTGCCGAGATACACGGTCCCCGAGAATCACCGCCTCAGACGGCCACAGTTGCTGCCTCACAGCTGCACTCCTATGCTGAGACCAGAAGGAGCCAGGTGACCCACATGTCCGGTTCTTCTCACCCTTCAGACTCCTCCAAACCTGCTCCTCGAATGATGAGCGATCACCCCTGGAAGCCTCTCACTCTCGCTGCGTACCCGCGGCCCGAGGGATCGCGGTCCAACTATGGCGCTGTGGAGCGGATTCTAAAAAACTACGAGACCGCAGCTCGGGCCCAACAGAACAAGATGACTTCAAGTTGTAACTTCACCTGTGGAGCAGAGGAGACCACTACTGAAGAGGAGACGCTGGATGTGGACCATCTGCCTTTAAGTCCCTCTGTGAAGCTCATGCAGATGTCCCACCGCCCCCACAGCCTCCCCAGCAGCAGCAGCCCTGCTGGGGTGAAGGAGGTTCTCCTTATAGTGCAGGTGAGTTCATGCTGAGGCTCCTGTTCTCCTCGCCATTAACGGTGTTCCTTTTTATCTGGTTAGGTGAATGTTATAGATCCTAGCAGGCCAGGGTGAACATTTGGTTTGGATCCAGGACGTTCTGACATGCTGAGCTGTTGCTCCTGACGGAGGACAGCCCTGGTGGGAATGTTGTTTATTCCTGGTTTGTGCTAAGAGACAAGCAGGCCAAAGCCTTCGTGAAGAACTGGGCCGTTCTGTAGCTTAAAGCGTTTATGTGTGAAACCAGGCAGGTGGTCTGCCGCCCACACCAGCTGCTTTCTCCCTGCTTCCACGAGGCCTCGCAGGGGAAGCGTTGCAACTACGGAAGCATCTACAGCAGCCAGCTGACCCAACGCCTCGGCAGAAACGGGAGAGCCCACGAAACGATTCTGCTCTAAAGTCGTGCAACCGTTAGACGTGGCATGAGAAGCTGGGAGGCAGTTTTAGGTGACCTCACAATAGGGGAACCGCACTAGTGACCAGTCAGATCACGTGTTGATTCAGAGGAAGTGCCTCACATGGAACTGATTTGTTTTCCCTTGGAGCTGTTCTCAGGAGCGTGCTCGTTTGAAATGTGCCTGTCGTTTTCCTCCTAGGATTCAGAAGACCTCAGCTGCAGCTCGTGACAAATGTAAAGTATGTGAGTGTGGGTCTGCTTGTCGCCAGGGCGGAGTGATAACCCTAAACGTTAATTCACTTGTTTCTCCACAGGAAGACGAAGAGCGCTCCATCTCCTCCTCCTCCTCGGTCCAGAGGAGCTTCTCCAGGCCGGCCTGTCCAGCCAACCGTCGCCTCCCATCCCGATGGGCCAGCTGCTCACCCGCCTCCCCCTCCTCCTCCCCTCGCAGCACTCCCGTCGTGCCCGCATCCTTCCCCCTGCAGAAACACGCCCCCTCCTTTTCTTACTCGCACAGCTTTCACATGGAAACCATCATCATGTGACCTCCACCGGAAGCCTTTACTGTTGTATGAACCAAATCCAGCCTGCACAACCTGCAGACTCAGAAGTGCTTCAGCTACGGATGCATCGGGACGGCCTTATTCACCCCACCGGCTCCGCGCTGCAGCATCGTCAGATTAGAGCCTCTGATGCAAAGCTGTCCTACGCTCAGGTCTGGATTTCAGCTGTGACTAGTGTAGCCTTACAGATCTACTAATAACAGATCCCTCACTACTCAGACACAGATCGTGACATCACCGAACTCTGAGATAAATGACTTCCTCTCATGTTGGTGGTCTTCTGCAGGACATGCCTGGACTGTACCTTCCCTGTGACTAAAACTGTGTTTATTCAAGCAAAGTACTTGGTTCTGGTTAAGTTTCATCAATAGTTAGAGTTCTGTTTCCTGTTTTCTACAACGTTGTACCAAAGGCTGCTTTCTTAGGCCGTTTATGGAAACACGTTTTCTGTCGGTGAGTCCCTAAAAACGCGATTCACCAGAGCTTGTGTCACACTTTAAACGTAGGCAAGCATTTTTTAAACTTTTAATATTTCTGAATGTTCACATATCAGGATGTTACTCGGCTAAGTAGTGCAGTTTTAGTGGCGCTAAAAGGTGGTGAATCACAATGCCTTTTCTGTTGTTTTCTATAATAAATATAAGGACTTACCAGGTTTCTGTTGTCTTCATGTCGCCCTGCAGCAAACAGCACGACACCTGAAGGGTTACAGCAGAGACGGGAGACCCAGGTTGCCCGTTTTACTTATACAATACAGACTCTAGTCACACACACCAGAGGCAGTTCATGACCAATGATGAAATGTGTACTACCAGGTAAAGACGGGCCACGACACCCGTCTGACCAGGCATCAGCAGCCCAGAGTTTCAAACTAAAGCCGTCTAATGATGTCAATACAAGAGATTTGGGTCTAATTGTAAAAATAAGCTACCCGTTGGCATTAGCAACTCCACCACATAGCCGAACTCCTCCAGACTTGTGTTATTTGTGGAGCTAAATCAACGTTGCAGAGCAGACAGTCAGTTGCAGAGCCGTGTTGCTGTTAGCCAATCAGAGGAGAGCTGTCTGAATACCAGGCATATTAGTAAGACTAGATCTACTTCCAACTTCCTGCTAGAGCGACTCACAAGGAATTAATTTATACTAGAGCCTACTGCAGATGTGGTGAAAACATGTGGATCTGGTCTTTAAAGAGTTTTGTGACTTTTAACCCAGTTTTCTTTTAATTTTCATACTTTAAACGTTAGAGTTGGACTTTTATTTCAAGTATCACTGCCGAGTCATATAAATCCATGTGTTTTGCATCATCACCCATGTTTAAGAACATGTGAAGAGACACGGTGCCGTGCACACACTCAGCCTCCCACCCCCCTCACCCTGAAACCCGGCACCCTGTGCAGACTAAAGCAACAGGTGCATCCATGTTGTGGTGCCGGAAATCTTAGCCCACTGCTGATATAAATATTATCATTCTCTCCTGACGCCCAGCCCGGCTCCGAGCCAGTCTCGTCCTGCTTTCCTGTGTCAAGGTTGGGAAGGAGCGAACAGTTCTGACCTGTCCTCCTGTCTTCAGGTGTCCAGCTGCTAAAGCTATTATATAACTAGCTGGCTGCTCATCAGCTCCTAAAATCGCAGCGCTGGAAAGGATTTTCTGCAACGGTCTGTGCTCGATTATACAAGCTCGGAGTATCTGCTGTCTTCATGCAACACTGCCAACTGGATGCAGAAGCTGCTGCAGACATAATGTTGTTTTGCTACAGGAGGGATGATTGTACACGTCTGCCTGTGATGGCTGCAGTGTCGCTCATCAGCTCTGTTCACACAGGATTCCTAACCCTACCAGAACCGTGAGCCACTGTGGGCTAGGTGCAGGCCATAAACACGGAGCTGCAGAGCTGGGAGTGTATGCACCACACAGGAATGCAGCTTTGTGGGAATGTACGGTTTTATTTGTTTGGCCGTGGAAATGATGACTTTCTAGTGCACTTGGTGAAGTGTTTTGTACACAATAAGTTTATTTTTGCACATGTGCGTTCCTCCAATGTCATTAAACACAGTGTTAGCTGGCATTTATAAAGACTACTGCTACTTCTGTTTGTTGCAATAGATCGTACAGTTGTAGGTGTCTGATTCTCTTCTCAGTACTCCTCACAGGAAACCTCCACCCACCCAGAACCTTCAGCCATGTTTTTGAAATAGAACCTGAAGCTGACTCTAATGTTTGGTCTGGTGGGATGTTTCTTATTTCTTTGCCTGCTTTTGAAGCCCTCCTGGCTGCAGCACATTCTCTGACTTCCTGCAGAGGACAGCTGCATATCGATCTGGGTGCTGATGCACTACTTTACAACACGCACGCACGCACGGACACACGCACGCACACACACACGCACACACACACACGCACGCACGCACACACACACACGAGCAGATGTCAAAGCCACAGGTCCCTCAGGTAGACAAAGTGATGTGCACGGACAGATTGCAGTGTTGCTGTCTGGGCTGATGTACTGTGCAGAGCAGGAACGGGAGTCAGCGTGTCTGGGATTCCTGTCTAAGGAAAACCTTTTCTGAATTCCTTCCCCTCTTTTAAATAGACCAGAGAGGTGTGGACTTGTAAAGCTGAGCCACTGATCTACAGAGCAGAGGCTTCTGGTTGAATGTCCTTTATATTTGTAATTAAGTCGAAAAGGATTCATGCTGCACAAATAATTCTGAGAAGAAAAATCGAGATTTCTCCTTTACAAACAATACATGATCATAAAACCTGATAGATTCAGAATCCTAATAAGAAATATTCTTCAGGACCAATATTTTTACCAGTGGTGGAGGATGTGTGGACAGAGGTATGAACCAAATTCAGGATCTCTCTCTCTCTCTCTCTCTCTCTCTCTCTCTCTCTCTCTCTCTCTCTCTCTCTCTCTCTCTCTCTCTCTCTCTCTCTCTCTCTCTCTGTGTGTGTGTGTGTGTGTGTGTGATAACTCAGCTGTCCCTTATAAAGATTATTTTCTTTGTTATTTTTCTCATCACCTTGTGGCATCACATTACATGATCCAGGACATCTGCAGAACCTCATAGTGAACACAGAGTCCATGCTCCTGAAGCCTATCAGTACACCCGTTATTTGTTGTGGACATTTAGACATTTGCTTCTGTTTTATGTTACTTTTACTTTACTTTTTACATGATTTCAGCACAGGGAAATAAAGAAACAATAAAAGCTGCAGTTAAAGAAAGTTTGATTCAAATCTGAATAATGATGATTACTGAGGGTGTAGTCTATCAACGTGATGAGCACGTAGCCATCATTTACGTAATCACGTCTATGGTTAAATCTCCCTTGTGTTTGGCGCCCTCGTGTGGCCACCTTTAACATCTCACGTCAGACCCAAATTCTCTCCAGCTTCAGTTTCTGGTCGAGCAGATTTAGTGCAACACCACCGCGCTGCTACTAAGCAAGGTAGGTGCTAAGTGACATTTCTTAATCATTTTAAGACGTTTTAGCGAATATATCGTTTGCGTTGCTTTTTGTTTTATGCGGATCAACAAAACAAGACAAACCCGATTGATATTATTTTAAATATCAGACTTTTGACTTTTTTCCAGACACTTTAGGTTAGTTAGTCTGAAATATTCTTTTATGATTTAATTTAGAGCTGATTTAAATAACTGAAGGTAGTTTTTTTTGGCTCATTTTATGTTTACGTGTGTTGCTTTGCTGGTGACCTCCTGGCAGTAGGTGCTCCAGCTGTGGACTCTAATCATAGATAAGTACATAAACATATGTAAGTTTACATCTACGACTCTTAACCTTGAGCTCCAGGATTTACTCGGAACAGCGTTTCTCAGAAATGCTCAACATGCAGTGATAAAAACGAGTCATGATCTCAATCAGCAGTAAATCCACTTTAAGTTGATTTACGTTCACTGCTGCTGCAGAGAGACATGTGCACATAACTGCATCATCAGTGTAAACATGTTGATATTTATCTTTTTCCCTCTCGTGTGCCATTAAAGGTGCAACATGTAGGAACCCAACCTGGTGTTTTTATGTTTTAAATGTTTCACATTGGGATTTATTTTACTTTCTATAAATAAGAGGAGAACTAATAAAATAATCACAATACTCTTAGCAGCTGGACCTGGTCCCCAACAGTGTAATCTGATTAATCTGATTAATGTTACTATTTCCTTTACTCGCATTGTCCGTTTTATGGTTTCAATGCCAATTATGTTTGGAAAGTTGGTAAAAAAAAGTCTCTCAGTTGAAAAGGTAGGAAGCTAATTTACGTGTTTTAAAATATTAAATAGGGCTGGAATAAAAACAAGCAAAGCCACTCTAGTGAACACATGAGCCTGATTCGATTAAATAACTATTTAGAGAACTTCCTCATATAGAGAGGTCTTGCTTGTGGGCTGAATGTTGGGAATGAAACAAACATTTGTTCTTTTTCATCAGCAGGATGGTCCTCTGTGCTGCGAGGAGCAGCCTCTGCTGCGGCGTCTGGATCAGGTAACTCGTACAGGAACTTTAATGTTCCAGAGGAAATCTGGATTTAAAAATACACATAATCCCTGAGGGGCTGATACTTATTTATCATGTGAAATAATCTGTGTAAACACACATTTTCCAGTTTGACTTGTCTGTTTCTTCAAGCTGTAAACCCCCACCTGGTGTGTTTATTGAAGGCAGCTGCAGAGGCGGGCCCACGGCGGTGTTTACTCCAGCGTCCATGGCTTCAGCCACGATGAGGTCAGACAGAAGCTGGAGGCCTTCCCCGGAGGCTCCATCGATCTTCTGAAGCAGGACTCTGGCTTAGCCGTGATGACCATCAACAACCCGTCTCGTATGAATGCCTTCTCCGGTATGACAACCTCACTTTAAAGCCGCCTGACAGCTGCAGCCTTTAGGCCACTTCTGAGTTTTGAGTCTTAACTCCTTTAGGCAGCATGATGGTGGACCTGGAGGAGAAGGTGACCCAGCTGGAGAACTGGACCAACGGAAAAAGCCTGATTGTTCGTGGTGCTGCTGAGACGTTCTGCTCTGGGTCGGACCTCAACGCCGTCCGAGCCATATCCAACCCGCAGGTAGCACAGGGAACAACTGCTCACACGTTTGTGATGGCCATGCTGCTCTTCTAATCCTCAGATCTTTTCTTTTCTCGTAGGACGGGATGAAAATGTGCATGTTCATGCAAAATACTCTTACAAGACTGCTCAGGTAGGAGCTCAGCTGAGTGTTGTTGCAGTAACCTGCAGGAGCACGGTTTGCTGAGAGGATGTGTTCCTCGGTGCAGGCTGCCTCTGGTCTCTGTTGCTGTTGTGGAGGGGAAAGCGTTAGGAGGAGGAGCGGAGCTCACCACTGCCTGTGATTTTAGGTAATGACTGTAATGTCTCTCCTGGTATTTCTTAATCCATCATCTTACTGTCACCTCTGTCTCCTAGATTAATGGCACCAGGTAGCGTGATCCAGTTTGTCCATAAACACATGGGTCTGGTTCCAGGCTGGGGGGGTGCTGCACGACTCGTTCACCTTGTAGGAAGCCAGAACGCTCTGAAGCTGCTGGGCGGGGCGGTAAAAGTGGACTCCGAGCTGGGCTTGCACATGGGCCTGGCAGATGGAGTCCTGGAGGACCATCAGGGAGCTGGGGGGGCGGACACCGTCCTGCAGCAGGCTGAGGACTGGCTCAGTCGCTACACCAGAGGACCCGCTCCAGTGATCCAGGCTGTGAAGAAAGTGGTGCTTTCGGGAAGGGAGCTCCCTCTGTCCGAGGCTCTGAGGACGGAGAAGAATGTGTTCGGGACAGTGTGGGGGGCGGCAGCTAATCTGGAGGCCCTGGCCAGCAAGTCCAAACATAGATGAGGCGTTTGAGTCATGATTTAAAATAAAGTGCATGCTTGTTCTGTGCATGAACTCATGGTGGGATGCAGAGCCAATCAGAAGCCTCCTTGGGAACATCTGAGGATACTAGAGTGGTTTGGCCGTGATTGTGTCAGACGTCAGATTAGGGCTGGGCGATATGGCCTAAAATCAATGTTACCATATACTGAGGATTTCACCTGGATAACGATAAATGATAACTACAGGTATGCAGAAACAAAAGTGTCCACTAGATGGGGCTGTGTCACATTTTTATGAGACTCAAGGTGGTACAGCTTCTTAAAGGGTCACGAACGCTGCTGAACTACACACATCATTTCATTTTTTAAATGAATTTAGACATAAAAATGATCTCAAGTCAGAAATTTAGATGATGATAAATTTTTGATTTATTGCCCAGCCCTACGTCAGACCCCTCCCATCTCTGAAAATCTTTTGTAAATATTAAACTAATCCAGTTTTGAACATCGGTTCACGTCACACATTACTTTTGTAAATAATAGAAATAAACCTTTTGTAAGAGTATTTATTATGCACAAGCACGTTTTATTACAGTTCTTTAAGAACCCAGATTACATCATCCACACCGGGTCCAGCTGGAGGACATGGACGCTGAGACAGCAGGACATCCCCTGGACAGGACAGCTTCAGATCCGTCCTGGGTTTCTGTCAAACCGGGACGCTCAAACTTGTGATTTAGTGTCTGGTCGAGTCTGTAAAGGACATTAGTGAAAGCAGAGATGTGCTCGAACTAAAACAGCAAGCTGTCAGGGGACGTGGTGGATGGTCCAAAGAGCCCGGCTGCCCTTCCCTTCATCCAGAGGTCACGTTTCTTGTCTAGACACCCAGCTGAGGTGGTAATACCTGCTGTGGTCACATGATCAAACACCTACTAGGTGAGCAGTCATCACCTGGTGGGCACAGCGACAGCTCTGGTAACAGCCTTTCCCAAAAGACCACAAATATGTAATAATAGGATGAAATGTTTAATTACAAATCGAGTAACAAAGGGAAATTGTTGACAAACTATTAATCAGAATGTCAAGTCGATGAGGTAATAAAAATATGACTTGCAGCTTCTGCAGGACGGCCTGAGACAGCGGTGTGTCCGTGTTCTCTTCCCTCAGATGTCAGACGCGAGACTCACCACCACAGGGAAACTGAAGCCATCGGTTCTCCTCCCGTCTGAACCGGTCACATCAAACACACAAATCACAAAACTACACACTTTGAGAACTTTTATTACTCAGGAACAATAAGATCATTAAAGAAGCTTCAGCTGCAATACAAAAAACAAAGAAAACATAATTCACATTAAAACGTAAATTCTCGTTAAATCAGATATGCAGACATTCATATGACGAACAGTTATGAATCTGCAAACGGTGGACTTTCACAAGATCAAATCCAGAGCACAACTGGCTACGGGGACTCCTGAAAAACTGTAGTGAACACTTTCCAGATCTTCTCAGGGTACCGTTCTGAAGTTAGAGGTTTAGAAGGGAAGCCGTTAGACGAATCTGAAGGATTGGGATTGAAAGGTGGATTTCTCTGTGGGACCAGACTTGAACTCTAACGTTCCTGTGAGCTGTTAGCGGAGTTTAGAGCACAACGATGCAGCTGCTCATCGGAACGACTTGGATCCCTTCCCCATTATTCCTTCTTCCCTCTGGGAGTCAGACATGAAATGTAAACACAAAGCAGACGCGTGGTTCCTCACTCACAGAGCATCTACCTGTGAGCTAAGATGTAACCTCGTCCACAGCTAACCCCTCTACCGGCTGGCTGCTTGTTTCTATGACGACACAAAGTACCCAGACCCAGAGTAAACCCAACCTGGTACTGTTAGGATGTGTGGGTGCTGAATTCTGCGGTACCAAAGAGCCCCCCACCCCCATCAGACCTGTGAACAACAGCATGATGTCAGGAATAAATTAACGGAGTGGAACGTTGCCATTCGGTGTTGATGTTAGAGATGAGCCCCTCACACCTCAGTCACTGTACACTGGCCATCAGGCATTCTGGACCTGCCGCTGCTGCTGGATGACGGAGGGGGGGAGGCAGACTCGGCACGAGGGGGGGCTCTGTTCTCTGGAGTCAGTCTTCGTCTCCGTGGCCAGTCCTCCCAAAGCTCCACATCCCCTCCCTCCTCTTCCTCATCGTCGCTCCAGTCTCCAGAGCCAGACTCCACGGAGGTGTGAGGGTCAGAAGACCGGGAGGGTGATGTCTCCTCCTCCTCGTCTTCCCCCTCTCCTCCCCCAGCCTCGGCTCGATTGTCAGAAGGCTTGGGCCTGGGGGTGATTTCCAGATGAGATAGAGCGTCCTCTAGAGAGGGGCTAGAACTGGTGCCGGGCTGACCCCCGAGAGAGGTGGGAGGCCGGGCAGAAGCCGAGGGGGCCATAACAGCGGGGGGGCCGACTGTGGCCTGCTGTTGTAAACCTGCTACTGAGGCATCGGCCCCATCTGCCGAATTTCCACGACTCGCTGGCCCGATAACGGCCTCAGAGTCCAACCGCAGTCCAGCAACCCCTTTCTTGGGAATGTCCAAAATGTCCCTCTTCATCTTGCGTCTACGGCCGTGCTCGTTGCGCCGATACTGCACCATGTTCTCCAAGTCAGCTACGTACAAAAACCCTGCTATCAGCATCTCAGCCGTCTTCTTCCCCTTAGAGAAAGCATCCTCCAGCTCGCGGCTGGTTCGCTCATCATACTGCCACCAACCATTACGGCCCTCGTAGTACCACGCGTGGTCGCTCGCTGCCCCACCCCGACCTCCTGCCGAAGCCTTCAGCTCCTCCGGGGAAAGAAGGGTGGGTCTTTCCAAGAAGTCGTCCGGCACTTCCTGTCTGCAGAGGGCACAGCGTTTACTCTGCCAGGACGCTCCCTTCACACACAGGAAGCAGAAGACATGGTGGCACGGCAGTTGGACAGGGTGGACACAGCTCTGCAGACAGATGGCACATTCTGGCACCGACAGAGCTGGGGATGAGCTGCTGGAGCCAGAGCACGACGAGTCTGCGCTGTTCCCGCTTCCACCGCCGCCGTTGCTGCCTTTCTTACTAGAAGGAAGTGAGCCAACAGAGTGGTCGACCTCTCCACAACTAGCCATCCTTGAGAAGTGCTGAAGAAAAGGAGATAAGCATTTATAGCAAGACCACCACATTTTATTATCTTTAAACACCAGTTGAAAACATGTTGCCCTGTTCTACTTGAGTGATTATATCATGACAGCTCTGGTCTGTAGTATTAACCTTGCAGCATAAACCTTGTGTTTGTAAAACTATTCTTTTCGTCATAAAAAGTTTAAACACAGACCACTTTCATACAGAAAAAGCCACCCAGAGATACTTACTCAAAGTTGCTTTAATGCTGACGAATCATTAGGAACGCTTCTGGACCTTCAAACCTCCCGCTGTTAAAAGGAAACAGGCAGTGAGTGAACATGTTTTCCACATTAGCTTAGAGGTACATGACAGAGCAAAAGGCTAGAGTCGGCCTTCTCTTCTGTAGAGTTTGCATAAAAGTCATACTTCTTGTAATTAGAGATAGACCGACATGTCGAGCTGATATTTTAAAAGTCAGGCACGTTCGTGGGCAGCCCTGTGCTATTGCAGAGTTGTATTTATATTTATGTTCCTGACAAAAAACAGCTTTAAATGCTCAGAAACATTATTTTAACTGAGATTTCTTTTTGTTTACCGGTTTTATGTACTTAATACTTGGATTACTGATTTTTTAAAACTTTGGTTAAACAAAACTAGGGGCAGGGGCCATCGGCTAGCACACTGCTGCTAACTACTTAAACATTCTCCCTCTCCTGATAACATTTTACTCTCTTTGACATTGAATGTGCTACTACTAGTTTACCCGTTTAATTATAGATTCACTAGGATAAATACAATAAAGTTTATCTTTCACTAAACAGAATATTTACTAAGAAATCAGGTATTTGTGCGCGTGTGTGTGTGTTCCGTCTTCTCCATCCCCAGTGAGTCGTGGAGGACGGCTGCTTATACTGCGCCAGGATCCTCTGTTAAAAGGGAGTATTCCTCTCCACTGTCGCTGCATGCTTGCTTAGCATGAGGATTGCTGTAAAGACTCTGAAACTAGAAATGTTGTGTATCCACTGGTACCAGTGACATTTGTGGCAGCAATAGGGAGGAAAACCTCTAGATATCGGCCATGAAAACTGGCCTAAAACTAACAGCACCAATCAGCTAAAAAAAAAAAAGATCTCTACAGATCGGCGTCGGCCGTAGAAAAACCCACATCAGTTAATTTCTACTTGTAGTGTTTTAATGATCTTAGGCAACAGACCTGCAGGCTTTCAAATGTTTTCTCAAAGACACAAACCTCTTAATTAAACATCTGATGGTTTTCATTGTGATGTCTTTGTCTGAAGAGCTACTTTATTTATTACCTCATTCAGGCAAAAATGGCCCATAAACTATTTCTATGTGTTGTTTTCAAACAAAAACAACTAGTTAATAAGCGTTTAAACTGGACTTTAACGCGTTTCGTTAACATGAGCACGCAGTTGTATAATACTATGGTACAACCTACGCTACCCGGGCCGACCCGGTACAGATGGGAATGGCCCAATAGACCACAGAGGTTTATTGTCTTTTAAAGCCTGATAGTAAAGGTTAAAGGCGAAATCTGAGGGACAAAGGGAAGCTCTGTACCGACTACAATCACCGAACTGTGTCACTTCACGGTAACTTTACCCATCTGACTTCAACGTCGGACACATGAAGACAGCCGTCTACAACTACAGCGTTTTTATTCTCACCTACAGGATGTATGTAGGAGTGACAGCTAGGGAAGGGAGGCCACCGTTACTGTTCCGAGGACAAACCAAACCCTTCAGAACAACGACTGTAGTTATCTGCAGCTGGGCTGGGCTAAGTGCTGCATCCTCGCTCCAGAAAGTAGACGGAGTTCATTTGACAACGCTAGCTTCATTTAGCGAGGCGACATAAACAGAAAAAAACCTTCAGTCGCGAGACAACTCCCAATAAAACGGTGACGCACCGAGCATGTCGTTATACGCTGCTGTCTCCGTCTTCCTTCGCGCTCCGACTCGTTACGCAGACCGATTCCCGGTGCCAATAACACGACTTTCAATGCTAACTGGCTTTGTTTTCCTCCGCAAGAGAAGCTGAGATAAAGGGGGCGACGTTAACGCTACGCGTCTGCGTCATCTGACATCCTGTCACGCGACCATTTTCACGCATGTCAAGTAGGCTGACTTCCTGTTCGCTCGTGGCCAGAGGACGTTGGTGTCACAAAGGAGAGGGGCTCTCGAGGTTTTCTTTTCATTTTCTCCGCTAAGCCGCAAAAAGAAGCAGCAAGAGGATGTTTTCCCGCGCCGTGAGACCCACCGCGAGCCTCGCTCGAAGCCTGTCTACTTCCGCGCACAACAACGCCAAAGTGGCGGTGCTAGGGGCTTCAGGCGGGATAGGCCAGCCGCTGTCCCTGCTGCTCAAGAACAGCCCTCTGGTGAGTCGCCTCTCCCTGTATGATATCGCTCACACACCCGGGGTGGCGGCGGATCTCAGCCACATCGAGACCAGGGCCCAGGTGACCGGCTACATAGGCCCAGACCAGCTCGACGCTGCTCTGCGGGGCTGTGACGTGGTGGTCATCCCCGCCGGCGTGCCCAGGAAACCCGGTATGACCCGCGATGACCTGTTCAACACCAACGCCACCATCGTAGCCACCTTGGCCGACGCCTGCGCCCGCACCTGCCCCGAAGCCATGATTTGTGTCATCGCCAACCCCGTGAACTCAACTATCCCCATTACATCAGAGATCATGAAGAAGCATGGTGTGTACAATCCCAACAGAGTGTTTGGTGTCACGACCTTGGACATTGTCAGAGCTAACACCTTTGTGGCTGAGCTCAAAGGTCTAGATCCAGCTCGGGTCAATGTCCCAGTCATTGGTGGTCATGCTGGGAAGACCATCATCCCGCTGATTTCCCAGTGTACACCCAAAGTAGAGTTTCCTGCTGACCAGCTGACCGCCCTCACAGAAAGAATCCAGGAGGCCGGCACAGAAGTGGTGAAAGCCAAGGCGGGAGCAGGATCTGCCACCCTCTCCATGGCTTATGCGGGTGCCCGATTTACCTTCTCAGTCCTGGATGCCATGAATGGAAAAGAAGGTGTGGTGGAGTGCGCCTTTGTCAGGTCTGAGGAGACGGAGTGCAAGTATTTCTCCACGCCTCTCCTTCTGGGCAAGAACGGCATTGAGAAGAACCTTGGGCTGGGGAAGTTGTCAGCCTTTGAGGAGAAGCTGGTGGCTGACGCCATCGGAGAGCTGAAGGCTTCAATCAAGAAAGGCGAGGACTTTGCAGCTAACATGAAGTAAACAGAAGCCAAAGTTATGATGGAGGTTCAGTCTTAAGACATCTGTGTAACTGAAGATCTGTCAGGGTTTCCTCTTCTTTGTCTTGGCAGCGGGGTCGTATTTTTAAGCTGTTTTAGTTTAACAAACATGGCCTGATCCTGTGCTTATACCTGGTGTCTGTGCTGTACTGTGACTTATTTACTTTGCAAGTTTTGTCAGGATTGTTAATTTAATGTACAGCATGCATTTGTGAGGACGTCTCTGCTGAGTGAACAAAGAGGAAATACTTTCATGCTTACTGATGCAAACGGTTGTTGTTGCTGATGAACAAAATATTCACTCCACCAATAAATAATTTAGCTTTCAGAAGCTTGCCTGTTTCCCTTCTGCACAACATTATTTGACAGTGCACTGAAAGGAGGATCAAATGTGTCAAATATTCATGCATGCCTCATCACACCCAGTGATTTCCCTCCAAATCCACCAGATAAATACCAAATTCATAAAATAATCCCAGTTCTCTTCATCCATCAGCTGGATTAAGTGGGACATTAAATTTAGTACTGATTAATATTATAGCTTCATTTTTAACCCAAATTAAAAAAAAGTCTAGTTGAAACCAACTTAAAGGTTAAGCCAGTTTTATATGACTCACTTGATGCTAATAGTTAAATTCTGTGTAATAAACAATGATAAAACCTGGACAATTATTACTGATGATAAATACGCGTTACTCAGGAATACAAGGAAATAGGCCGTGGGTTGAAAGTTCAGCTATGAAACTTCCTAATCTAATTCCTGATTAAGATCCGAGTCCACCGCTAATGACACGCAGCGTCTCTCTGTTTTCTCTGAGAAACATTTTACAGCAGATTATCTTTAGAGAATAAACACAGATACAAACCATTACACTTTTATTTGACATAAAGTTGTCTTTGGTTCCAGGAGTTTTATTTTGAGAACAGAATGCCTAAAACACAAGATGACTTTTCTGGATCCGATCATCCTGCTTCGCTGAACAAACCCCTCCTGACCGCAGCGTGCCGGCTCTCCATCTGTCCGTGGTTTGGATGTGAAGCTGGCAAAGACGTCAGGTTTCTTTACAAGCTTTACTCTGAATACAGAGCTCTAAAGAATAGGTACAACAACAGTTATAATAATAAACATTCGTTCTACATAATGCTATAAAATCTACATTCAGAACCCAAGATGCACATTGTTGTACCCTTAAGCATCATTAAATAACCTTATGAACAAGCACACAAGTCCTTGAGTCCTCACGGTCACCGTTCTCGATGTCCATCGTCCCTAAAGTGGTGTCTCCTGTCCGTTTCAGATGAGACTGAGCCGTGGATCTGCAGGAGTTTGGCCCCAGCGTACAACGGGACATAGAGTCCAGAGTGGCTGAATATTTTCCATAACGTTGGCGCATAAACAGTCAAGTCGTTTTAATTCGTACAGGTAGCAGCAGCACCCCGTAGAGAGGGGTCAAAAGGGTCAAACGATGCTGTTTAACATAGTCTGTCCTGAGCATTACTGCACAGGCCTGTCTTCGGGGGACACGGTCTCTGTGTTGTGGCCTCGGCGGTGCCGGTGCTCAGTTTTGTTCCTGTTATCCGAGTCTTCCCGTTCTCCCACATCCCTGTCCCGCTCCCTTTCTCTCTTCCTCTCCCGCCGCACCTCCTGGCTCTCCTTGTCTTTACGGTTGTTGCGACTCCTGCCATTTCGCTCAGTCTTTCTCCGTCCTCCTAATAGAGTCAAGAAACAAAAGTCATTTTGTTGTTCGAGTAAAAATAATTTACTCAGCATGAGTGGCAGGAACTCATCAGCATTATAATAAAACTGAAGCATGGATAGAAAAATTCTACTGAAGTGAAAACATTTGAACTACAAACATCAGGAGCAGGCTGCACAGTTGTGCAGTGGTTAGAGCTGTTGCCTTGCAGCAAGAAAGTCCTAGGTTCGATTCCCGGCCTGGGATCTTTCTGCATGGAGTTTGCATGTTCTCCCTGTGCATGCGTGGATTCTCTCCGGGTACTCCGGCTTCCTCCCACCGTCCAAAAACATGACTGTTAGGTTAATTGGTCCGTCTAAACTGCCCTTAGGTGTGAGTGTGTGTGTTTGAAATGCGTGTCTCCAGTGTGGCTCCTTCACCACCAGGTGTCAGTGTTTACCCACAGAAAGAGCTGTCAGTCAGCTGCTGCAGTGATGAGCGGACCCTTGTCCAGAATAGAAAACCTTTAAATAACCTCCCAGACTTATCAGCTCTTGCAACATCATCTCATAAACAAAACGGAGCGTTTTGGAATGCTGAAGGTTTATCTCTCTGCTCGAGCTGCAGTTATTAATGATAATACTGAGATCTTCCTTCAGGGAGGCTGGAGATGGGACCTGCTGCGAGCGAAAGCAGAGGAGGCCCTTCCTGTTGTTGTACGGCTGCCGCCCATGTGTGAGTGGAACGGAGCAGTACGGCCTGCTTGGCTGCTGGCTGGCCGGCCGAGTGGGGATTGTGAAACTGCTGAAGTCGGCAGTGGGCACAGACAGGGAGAGGGGGGAAAGACATCTGTCTGTCTGCTTGATGCACGCCCCTTACCTCACTCCCTATGTGCATTAATCAAGGCAGGTCTCAGTTTGGACCAGGAACAAGGTCTGACCTGTGCATATTGTATTTAATCTCTCCTTCTCTACTGCGTCTAATCGAGACATCCTGCAGGGAGAGGACAGGAAACAGATAATACCAAGGCTTTGCTTTTGAGTCCAACAGACTTATATCAGTGATAGTGGAGGGAGGTGGTTTCATGGATGGATGAATGGAGTAGTCTGGTCCACTGACTCATCCAGGGTATGCCCCCTCGCTCTATAAACACAGGAAGTTCCCTTGGCCCTCATTGTTTTCTCTGTCCTAACACCATAACTATTTACAAGTTCAGTGGATTAGTCATACTGTAGCCCCGGTGCTTTTGTTGAACCAGAGGAGAAACCTAATCCATGCCAGCGCGGAGATGATTAGGCCAGTGTTTATCAAAGCAGCCTGCATTTGGTTAGTCGGAACGTTTCTGATGGGCTTTCTGTAAACTGTGTGTTGACGTGTGTGTGGCGGTTCCTGCATGAGACACCTTTAGAAGTTCTGGAACATTGTCAAAAGACATATAGCACATTCCCAAACGTCATCCTGTCAAGAATCATTTCAGAAGTCAGAGACTTTCAGGGAAGCTGGCCGGCGAACCAAACACGAAAAGAAACGTAGAGTTGGATGAGCTCTGCTGAGAAAGACGAGGAAGTCGACTCCTCTCAAAGGCCTTTGGGGCCTTTTTTCTCAACTCAAGTCACTGACTCTTAATGATCTAATTAGTCATCATAGTGCAAGTTGTGAAGTTTATTTTTTAATAAAGCCTTTTATAGAACGCCATTGTTTCATCACTACAGTCTGATTTTCAGCCACGTGTTTGGGCTTTTTTTTTGGTACTCAGGCAGATTATTCTACCATCTTCTCTTGACCCTTTGATGTTCCTGAGACCAATAGAAAGAGTCCAAGAAGAGACGGGTTTGGGTTTATTGGTGTTCACCGTGTGCTGAACTGTCTCCGCTGGGCTAACAGTGGCTCAGCTCAAAGACTGAATCAGGTCTGGCGGGAAGAAGTTAGTTTTATTAACAGTTTTGTCTTTTGCTTTTAATCGTTTGTGGAAATCCAAACAGCTTGTTGACCAGAACAAGTCCAGGTTTATTCTCTGTTACATAAAACAAGTAGCCTAGAAATCTAGACAGACAGTCGCCGCTCTGAATTCTGGTCTAGCCACGCTCCATTAGAGCCTAAGCGGGCCAGACCATTCTTGTGGCCGTCGGTTCGGTGGGCGGGATGTTACTGCGACTGAGCAAAACAAAGATGGCGGCGGCTCGTTTGAAACACCATTGGCATCAACTTTGGACTATTTAAACTTGGGCTTTTCTTTGAGTCATAAGTGGACAGAGGTACTTTAGTCCCTTATTTAGAAGAAGGACGCATTTGTGTCTTCTTCAACGGTGTATCAAGGACTGCCCCGATGACTGACGTCTGTAGCGGTGAGGATGCCACGTTGACCATTGTCCAATAGGAGAGACCCTCTGTCTTCTTTACTGCCTTCTTGTTAAATTTAGGGAAAATCTGACTGAACATTTAAATCTTTACCATACTTCTGGACTCCCGAGGTCCATCTTAGAGGGGACTTAACTGTCACTGGCTGTAACGTTGCTCTGTAAGAGAGGAGCTTTACTGATATGTAGCTGGGGAGGATGTTAGAGAGGAAATGAGATGGAGTAAGAAACGAGCCAGAGTTGGACAGGAGGACCTGACAGATCCAGATGAAATGAGAGCAGAGGGCCACTGAGGGTAAGAGGAAGTGTTTATCTAAGTGTGTGCATGGCTAGAGGAACGTTGTGTGTTTTATGGTGGCACATCCTCTGTGGCAGGCGTTCTGTCGTTCAGGGAGCTTTAGGTGGGAGCCAGGCTGGGATTAAAGGCCTTGGGCTGTCCCACAAGTGGAATGCCTCCCGCATGGCTGCCAGGATGTCCCAAAGGAGGGGGTTGTGGTTGTGGGGGTGAGTAACACCCCCCTTACACACACACACACACACACACACACACACACACACACACACACACACACACACACACACACACACACACACACACACACACACACACACACACACACACACACACACACACACACACGCACGCACACCCACACACACACACCAAATGGCTGGTGGTAGCATGTATATCAGCATGTTTCTGCGTCTGGGTGAGCGTTAACATGGTTGAGTTTCTGTTCCTGAGGCAGTGGGTCTATCAGAGGAAAACTGAATCTGAGGGGAGTTTATGAATGATGGTGAGCTCAATAATGACTGTGGAGGGATTTCTGCACAAAAAATTCAAATAGGCGTTAAACAGAATTTCCCCTCACAAACAGGTGAGCTGTCAGAGCTGCAAGTGAGACACGGATCAGCAGCATGAGTGCTTGTGCTGCTTTTTATTTGTGATTTAGTGAAAACAGTTCAGATGTCCCTACAGCTACCTGCATTAGGATTGAAGCATGGCCCACTGATTGGGCTTGACCCTGCATCCCTCACCTCCCTGCACTTGTTCAGACTAAATACGTTTTCCTTATTTAGGGAGATTTGATTTAAATGCTCATTTTCATTTATAATTATATAAAAAACAGTTTTTAATACTTGGGACTAATACTTGGTCTAAAATGTGTTTTCAGTTTAAAATTGTTAAACTGTCCAGACTCAGTAGGAAAAGCTGAGTAGTCAGGCATCTTCTTCTTTAAAAAAATCCCCAAAACAGGTTTCAGTCTATTTAAGTTCATTTGCTAAAACAGAAACCATTTTTGATTGAACTCACCTAACTTTATTTTTTACAGATTTTACTAGAAATAAATAATAAAAAGATGCAATCAGTTTTTTCTAATGAACGTGGAAGTCAGTTTGTGTCTGAAAAGTTTAAACAAAATGTTGAAACTATAAAAAGGGTGCTTTCCAAATGCTTTCAAACTGACTTTAAACCTCATCTGATTGTATTTAATTATGACCAAAGAGGACTAAAGAGGAAACCGTGCCAGAGGACTTAGGGTGATCACGAGATACAAGGAGGATTGTGGAGGAAAAAAACAAAACACTATTCTGAGGAGAGGTAAAGGAAAGGGAGAGGCAAGAAGGGGGAGGAGAAGCCCTAAAGAGGAGGAAAGGAAGAGGATGGGAAGGAGGATGTATCAGTGTCGGAGGGCTGCTGCAGGATTACTGGGGCTCTGGAAGGTCGGGCCACTGACCCGCTAGCGTGTGCAGAAGGTAAACAGAGAAGGAGAGGCTGATAATTAGCTCCCATTCAGTGTGGCGATCTGAGTAAAAATGGCAAAGATGATAGGAGTGTCTGCACACACACACACACACACACACACACACACACACACACATGCATGCACGCGCGCGCACGCACGCACACACAGCATACTCTATCTCTCTGTTCATGTCTATGGCTCGATCAGTAGCTGCAAGCACCAACTCAAGACTGATACCGGGTTTATGTGTTCTTTAGTGTGTGTGTGTGTGTGTGTGTGTGTGTGTATGTTGGCAGCTGTGGGGATAAACCAGGACTGATCCCCTGGTCGCCTCGTGCCTCCCAAGGGGAGGATGTTGATGTTGAGCTGACTGTTTCAGCTCCAGAATCAAATGCTTTTCTGCCGCATCACACACACACACACACACACACACACACACACACACACACACGCACGCACGCACGCACGCACGCACGCACGCACGCACGCACACACACACACACACACACACACACACACACACGCACGCACGCACACACACACACAGTGTTTGTTCTGTAAGTGTGAGGCCCCCGGGGGCTGGATCTCAGCCTTCTAGCCTGTCTGCAGTCTGTCATTTAACACTACACAACCTCGGTGCAAAAACAACTAGCCGAAGCCGCCAACCTCCTCACTAACCACACACACACACACACACACACGCACGCACGCACGCACGCACGCACGCACGCACACACACACACACACACACACAGTACGCAGAACACAAAACAGTCTTAAAAACTCTACAGGCAACAGATTTTATATAAAAGAGCGTCTGAAAGCAGTTTTCACCCAGTTCATTAGAATTAATCACACTGGTCTCTGTTTGCCCAGTGCATAAAAGTAGCACTGCAGTTTAAAGAGGTCTGGTGGAAAAATACACAGCATTGCAACATCACACATGTGTTCCCCCCCACAACACACACACTCTCACACACACTCTGTCCTCGCATTAGCCACAATGACTGTCCTCTCAGCAAACAGGCACAGACCTGAATAAAAGACAGGCTGCTTGGTCTGGAAGTTATACAGACCTTAAATCATGCCATGTGTCACAAATATGATGCTGGCAGCAAACATGACAGCTATTAAGTTCTGGACCACCAAGGTTTTGGGTTCATCTGCTGGCCCAGAGGGGCCGTAGGTCCCGACACATCCCAGAGACAGAGAAACAGTTTACCTGGGCATTTCCTCCTTTTGACTAGACACTCTTTGATCTCAGAGATGTCTGGGCAGGGTTTGCCAAAAGGTGACGGATACTGCAGGACCTGCCGGGTCCGGGTCTCCTGGCCTCGTTTGAAGCCACAAGTTCTTCCGGACTTGGAGCAGGGGCTCCATTCGCTCCACTCGCCCACCTCACAGTGCACTGACAGATAGGAAATGGTGTTAACTTGAAAAGTTGTTCTTTGCAGCATTCTGACTAGGTTAAGAGCACAAGCAGACACTTTCTCACACTGAACTCACCCTGTGGTGTGCACTCCATGAGTTCCTCATTGGGCTCATAGTCATCTGGACAGACGTGGTAGCACCTTCCGCTCAGCTGGTAAAGACCTGGCCGGCACCGTGTACATGATTCACTGTTCACACACGACTCACACTCTGCAGGGCACCCTGCAAACAGAGCCACTTCAGGATCCTGATGGACATGCTATGTGGGGTGAATGTGGATGAGCAGGAGGTGGAAGTCCTGTTCCAGACTGAAGTAAAAGCAGGGCACTCACCGGGAACACACTCTCGCTGGGCATCGCTGTGGACCATGCCGTCTGGGCAGCTCTCCTGGCACTTGCCCAGGTGAAGGTAGAATCCCGTCCGGCAGCGCGTGCAGAAGTTCTTGGTGAAGCAGGAGTCGCACTCCGACCTGCACTCTGTCAGAGAAGCACAGACACACCACAGGTGTTTAAATGATCAGGAGTCACCTGCAGGTTCGTTAGTGTTTACTTAAGAACGTTCATAAACAACCCAGTCACTTTTCTTGTAAGTGGGTGTTTGTGTTGTAGCAGGTAGAAGAATCAGATTAGTTCTGACTGGACTGATAAGCTAACGGCTAGTTGCAGCAGTACCGTTTAACTTTATCCTACCATGACCAGACATAAAAGGGCCTGTGTCATGCTTACCGTTGGCACTGCTGAGATGTCACTTCTATGAAATATGTTATTTTCGTGAGTCATTCCTTCAAACTGAAAATAAGACGCTTGAAATTGATGAAACCCCGCCTCACCACATGTGAATTCCACAGAAGCTGCAGAGCTGGTGACACACACACACACACACTTTATAACCATGCAGCTAGCAGTTAGCATTTTGGTTGTACATACATCTCGGGCCAGTCCATCGGGGGTTCTAACGTTGGAATAGGGCAGGTTTGAAGAAGTAATCCATCTGAAAACCCACTCCGGTACTGGTGGTTGTTTAATCAACAGTCTGTGAAATCACGCTCACGTTCTGGCTCAGTTTTATAGACCATTTCTGCTGATTAAACCCTTCTTCAGGAAGACTGGACAGGGATCCTGTTCCTCTTGCAGACTAAAATCCATTTTAGCATCTAGGCATTGTGTAAAGGGCAGAGTAGATTAGAAAGAAATCACTTCTTCACAACTGGGAAGAATAGACTTCCTGCTAGCTGAACGGAGAGGCAGAGCGTATTTACTGTCCAGTAGAGGAGGGGTTCGACACTACCTGGATGAGGAGGAGCGGGTCGCGGGTCGGCACACCAGCTAAGATTTGCAGCTGAAACAGGAACATGTGTGGTTGAAGCTCAAACCACTTTGGGGTGTTTTTCATGAGGAAATAACAACAAAACATGGCCAAAAGCTAAAAAAGTGGCTTTTGCGTCATACAGGACCATCCATCCATCTATTTTCATCCGCTCATCCGGAGTGGGGTCGCAGGGGTAGCAGCCTGAGCGGAGACGCCCAGACTTCCCTCTCCTCGACCACTTGGGCCAGCTCCTCCGAGGGAATCCAAAGGTGTTTCCTGGTCAGCCGTGAGCCATAGTCCTTCTAGCGTGTCCTGGGTCTTCTCTGGGGCATCTTGACCAGATACTCAAGCCATTTCAACTGGCTCCTCTCAATGTGGAGGAGCAGCGGCTCTACTCTGAGCCCCTCTGGGTTGACTGAGCTTCTCCCCTATCTCTAAGGGAGAGCCCAGACACCCTGCAGAGAAAACTCATTTTGACCGCTTGTATCCATGATCTCGTTCTTTCGGTCACTTCCCAAAGCTCGTGACCATAGGTGAGGGTAGGAACGTAGATCGACCAGTAAATCGAGAGCTTTATCTTCTGACTCAGCTCTCTCTTCACCACGACAGACCGGTACAACGCCCACATCACTGCAGATGCAGCACCAATCCGCCTATCGATCTCACGCTCCAGTTTTCCCTCACTCGTGAACAAGACCCCGAGATACTTAAACTCCTCCACTTGGGGCAGGACCTCATCCCTGACCCGGAGAAGGCATTCTACCCTTTTCCGATTCAAGACCGTGGTCTCAGATTTGAGGACTTACTGTTGGCAATGCGGACCAAGCTCTGACACCAGTTGTACAGGGACCTAACAACCAATATCAGAGGGTCTGGTACCCCATACTCCCAGAGTACCCCCCAGAGCCCCCCCGAGAGACGCAGTCAAACGCCTTCTCCATATCCACTAAACACATGTAGATCAGTTGGGCAAACCCCCAAGGACCCCCTAACGGTATAGAGCTGGTCCAGTGTTCCACGGCCAGGACAAAAACCACATTCCTCCTCCCGAATCCGAGGTTGGACAGACCGACGGACCCTTCTCTCCAGAACCCCAGAAGAGACCTTACTAGGGAGGCTCATGAGTGTGATGCCCCTGTAGCTGGAACACACCCTGCAGTCTCCCTTTTAATAAGACCTTTAATAAATGGGTGCAGGACCTTTACAGTCATTTCTGTGTCTTCAAACTAAGGTTTTTCAAAGAGCCATCTACAACAGTTACCAACTTTAAACAGGCAATCTAAATCAGAATAAGCGATTTATAGTATTTTAAAAGAGATGCTTGTAAAGAATAGTTTTATTTTAACATTTTAGAGACATTTGTAGGCCCATCATGTCCAGTTTGTTGCTCATCGGGACTCACTTGTGCAGGTGCTTCTCTCTGGGGAGCGATTGCCATGAAAGCCAGGAGGACAGGAAGTCATGCACACCCCGATCTGCTTCATCCCGATCCTCTCCAAATGCATGAATAAGCGTGGCCTGCAGGACAGACAGCCGTTGTAGTCGGAGCAGGTCAGACAGCCACTCTGCTGGCACGCTGAGCTTGCACCCGTCATCACTGTTGACACAAGCAGATGACATTCATTGTCACAGCCAGAGTACGAACACATCCATCTCCCTTTGTCACTGCTAGAGGTAAACGTTATCACCTCCACGGGGCGAAAGGGGAGCGATGGTGTTTGCAAAATATCTTGTGGCAGATTTGAAGTACTTTTAGAATCAGCACGATAGATGGCCACCACAGTGAAGCGTGGAAACATAAACATGGAAACATGGAGGTCAGTAAAAATTGCTCCTGTTCTCTGTGATGGGATCAGGTCAGATAGTTTGAGTGGTTGTTGTTATTGTAATACTTCTTATTTCTTTCTAAGTAAGTAAAATTTTAAACAGGTGAGTTAGCCGCATCGTGCAGTAAACATTAAAACGTCACATAACTGAACTTTTAAAATGAGTGACTAAGATAAAAGCCAAGCAGCAGGGGTGCTCTGACAGTTTAATAGATCACTGGGAGTTTCATCAGATTTCTCACCTGGATTAGCGCTCCAATAAGAAAGATTTAGACTCTTAATCACCGTACCTAAATAGTAAAACTCTAGTATTCCAAGGTTTCAAGACACAAGTCGCTGGCCCATTTGCGAGTATGCCAGTAATCAAGCCTGGGTGTGGCTGGAGAAACTGGAGTCAGCTTTCCAATCAAACACAATTAATTCATGATTCAACAAGGGGGTCAATACTGCATCAAACGGCTTGGTTTAGATGTTTTCTCATTAACAAATGAAATCAGCGTTTTTACTCAGGTTATCTCTGATCTGAAACATTTAGAGGTGGAGTTTACAATCTTAGAAAGAGCCACATACTACGTACCGGAACTCGACTCCAACTTCCTCAAGCCTGGCTCTCCTCCCTCTGCTCTCCGGAGGGCGAGGCATAACAAACCAGCACGTTAGATACACACCTCTGCCGGCCGACAGAGAACAGGCTGCGTTCACAGAATACAGGTCCACCGCCTAAGCATTTCCCAACAAGAACACGACCATACGCTAGCTGGTCTCCTTAAACGAAATGTGCAGAGTGGAGCATTCCATCCAATAAACTAAGCAGCCCAACTCTGGCTTTGCTTCCTGTTCAGCTGCTCCAAGTTGAGAATGTGTGATTTGTGCACAAATAAGGTTACGTACAGAGGGGTGAGGGCGGGTCAGAGGGCAGTTTGAAGGATGGACGAGGCTTTCGCCATGATGGGACGAGGTTTTTCCAGGATTGTATGATTAAAATGAGTCATTTTAACAGAAAGTTTCATTTTGAAATCAGTATGTGAAGAAAATTTCAAGCAATATGGCAAAAAAGCTCCAGGAAAACATCTCATTCAACACTTTTCAGTTACAAAAACAGTAGAAGTGAAAAGTGTTTGCAGCCCTGTGGAAGACTCTGCTCCTGTTTGGAAGAGATGCTCTAACATCACACCCACCATAGAGCATCGCCACACAGCTTCTGATGACTGTTGGTTCATAAAGATGAACTCAGGTACCAACATGTGTCAGACAAACCTGCAACGGTAAACTCTGTGGTATGTTTCAGATTCTTACATATCGTTGTTGCATCTACTCTTTTCTCCAGTGGTGTTTTAAAAAAAACCTTTCAGTAGTCACAGATGGTAGGTGAGTTAAAACAACTCATGTACGCACCCAAGAATCTGCTCTTTCTCTGCCGTCTTGGCATCTCAGCGGCTTGCACTTGCTGTGTTTTCCAGCTCACGGTTTAGCTGCCAGTGCACCATAGATCAGAAACACTTTGTTTGAAATGTCTTGACTGACTTTGCAAGCGTTGTCCGTTTGCCCACACGTGTTCCTGCCAAGCTGGCCCGATTCACAGAAACCTCAGATGCAGGAATTCGGGCCTGCCCTTCGCCGCGCACCAAACACACCTCAGACAGACAGCCGCTAACAAAATCATGTGTGATACCAGCAGATCTTCAAGAGCAAAGATGATTCAGAGAAAAGGGATGACTAAAACGACAGCTGATAATTCATGAAGCACACGCCGTCTGTGCCTAGACCTTCATTCCAGTTGGGGGCATCATCACACACAGGAAGTTCAGGACTTGGGCTCTGTCTGTGTCATTGTAATTCTGGCATGTTAACCTCGTGGTCATTGACTCTCCACTCACTCTATTGCCCCCCTTTTTCCTCTTTACGGCCTGAACTCCTCACCAACTAATCCCTCCATCCTCCCGGATATATCTGAACGAGTGTAGATATCTGTATCCGTGGAGGAAGTTTGGATTCACCGAAGAACAGAAAAGAGTCTCTTCTGAGTGAGCGTCAATGGGGAGGTGTTGGGGGTTCGCTTCTCGTTTGACTCTGCTGCCATCCCAAAGTGGGAGGAAATCCCATCATGGACCAGTACTTCAGGATTCAGATTTGAAACTTCATTTCAGCCTGAACCCATTTTATTGCACCGGGTCGCTCTAATTTCACAAAACACAAGTAAAGATGGACAACCCTGAAAGTAACAGAACATTTAAAAAAATATCCAGAGTGTTTAGAAACAAACTCAGCAGGAACTTTGGTCAAACACAAGCTGTGGTCTGAAGCCAACCAGAGGAGAGAGCTTCCAGGTGGCATGGATAAAAACACCACTCCGAAGGGCTATTATTGTAAATCACAGACAGTTTCAGGCGTCCTGGCCAGAGAAACATGGAATATTCCAGTTATCACTTACTGAGTTAGTCACCCAGCACATCTGGAGGCCCTCAGTGATAAAGTCTGCGTGGGCAGAGCAGGAAAATGCTCTTTATTGATACTTATGCTATAGTGGGGTGGGGGTGGAGTTGGTCACAGCCCAAGAAATGAGACAATGTTGGACCTCAGGGAGACAAATGGGAGGTGGAACACCAGCAGACCAAGTGTGGAACATCTCCTCTTGCCTTTGGTGCAGCCGGCTGTCAGTTTGCATAAACTTTGCGTTTTCCATGATCAAGAAGTCTCCGGATCTGCGCCCACGTGACTACAAACGTATCGTTTATTATTTTAAAATGCTGCAGCCAAAATAAACAAAAGCAGTGGGAGCTAATTTCTCCACAGATGGGACAAAATGTGTGAATTTTCACAGCTTTGATAACTAGACACAAAACTCCGCTGCTCTGACCGCTAGAGAGCAACGCAGGAGAGTTTGCGCGCGCGGAGCGGTAGTTGCGCACCAGCTGCGGCGTCACGTTTAATTAATGCGTCTAATTTAACCAATCAAAGCCACACACGAGCCATTAAAGGCACGAAAAGCAACGAGGCAACACGCGTTAACGGAATCAGAAATAGCAACGACAGAAATCTTAAAGTTATTTCCTTAAAGAGTTTACCAATTTAACAAAAATAAAACGAACCTGAAAGTTATTTTGATTTCTTATCCGACCTGATGAATTTCTTAAAATGTGTCTGACTTAATTACAAAGTTACGTATCACTCAAGAAGTTAAACCAGATGAGCTGGCTTTTCTGAGCTTTGCTGAAATCTGCTGAAGTTATCTTTAATATCAGAATGAGCAGAAAAACAACGTTTTTATAAATTATTATTTCTATTTTCTTGAATTGTCTGAAACCGAGAAAGAAAATAAACGGAGCTGAGGTAAGACTCACGCTTGTGCTGCCGGTGCCTGGAGCTGCTGTTCGGCTGACCACCAGTGTAATCCATGCAGTGCGAGAAGATCAAAACAAAGGAGATCAGTTGTAATTGCATAGTAGCCCAGAGAGGAGATACAGCCAATGTTCACCCAAAAAACTTTTTTTTCTCTCCCCACGTTTTCTTGACTCCCCAGTAAAAGAGGCTGCGGCACAGATGACTCCTAAACGCAGCGGGACGCCCAGCTGTGGGGGGTTATGTGGTGGTGGTAGTGCACGGTGGCCCAATGATGCCTGGGCCGTTTCGACTCTAACATCCTGGATAGGGTCCACATATGTGCCAAGAAGGCCAGGCTGAGTCAGTGATCCGTTATCCTCTCGGTGATGAAGAACATTCCCTTCAGAACGTAGCCGGACGCACGGACACGCTTCTCTGACATCTGTTGCGCGCACGAACAAATCAGAACCACCGCTCAGGTGTTAAAACAACAGAGATTTCAGCAAGATCTCCGAACAGTTGGGTGTTTTAAATCCATTTGTTGAACTCCAGACTGGCTCCCCTCTCCGGGTCTCTCTGGATGGAGATGCGCCGTGCGCTCCGGTGCGTGCTTGGCGGTGTGGAGACTAAAGCAGGCGCGCTGAGGGCTTCATTCCAGCATCAGCTGGAGGAAAAGCCGTTACAGGATCGGCACCAGTAAAACCTCTGCTCTGGTTCTGCTGCCAAACCGGGACCTCCTCCTTCTGCTGTAACGGAGCCGCATCCGAACCAAAGTAAACCTCCGCACTTTCAGACACTTCTGCTTTGCGTGCGGGACTCATTCACTCCCCTCCCGCCTGCTGCTGATGACTTCAGCCCTCCGCTGCACCCCCCCATGAGTTCTAAAGTTTATTTAGAGCCCCCCCCCCCCCCAGAGAGAGAGAGAGAGAGAGAGAGATAGAGAGAGAGAGAGAGAGAGAGAGAGAGAGAGAGAGAGAGAGAGAGAGAGAGAGAGAGAGAGAGAGAGAGAGAGAGAGAGAGAGAGCTGCTCTGCGCTTCTCTCAGTCCTGATCTTTATTATTTCATCCTCTGGGTTTTTTATACTTTACTAGAATCTGAATGAAGGAAATATTTATTACTTATGTTTGAAGTGACAGCTGCCTAACCCGAGTGACGCCTCTCGGTTCCACCAGACACAGGTTGCCTTAATTTGCAGAAAACTCCGCACAGCAGCAGCAAAACAAAAAGGACACGTTTCTGCTCCCTGACTCTTCCTGCTTTTCTCTCAGTCCTCTCACACATCTATCTAAGTGTCAGATGTTCGAGCTGCAGGGATGATGAGATGCAGATAAAAGCAGGAGCGTGTCCTGATGTCACCTCTAGGGGGAGTTAGCTCCACAAAAGCATCCAGAGGAGACATGTCAGTGGGTCATGACCTGTCTCTGGTGGGTGCAAATGTAAAGTTGTTTGACTAAAGAAAAAACATTTAGAACAAATAAAAATATTTTCTATGCAGAAACTAAAACAAACGCAGCTCAGCATGCAGAAGCAGCAGAAACAGGGACTGTAGGGGGACACTCACTTGAAATGAGCTGCAGCCTCTGGAGGAGGCAGGAGGGAGGGGCTGAAGCCTCATTTGTCTGACTGGAGTGTTGATGTTGGGGGGTGGGGTGGGGGTGTGGGGTACAGCATGCATGACTCTGGTGCGTGTCTCCTCACTGTGGCTTCTAGTCTTCCATCAGTCACTGAACTGCAGACACAGTTGTGATTTTCCTTCTTTACAGGAAGACGTCGCCGTGTGCCCTGTGCTAACTCAGGACCAGGACTCTGAGTCATAACAGAGATTATAAACCCTTTCACCTCTGAGCAGGCAGACCGCCTAATCCAAACTCTGCCCAGGATATCAGGAGCGGTGTGGTGGGACCAACACACGTCGCTCTGATGGACTCTGGTGTAAACATTCCCACTGCTAACCTCACACATCGCACGTATGATCGTGTGTAGCTTACATGGCAGCAAAGAATAAAAAAAAAATCCTAAATATCTTGATGAACAATGACCACAAATTATGAACCCCCCCCCCCACCTGAGTCTGGTCTAAGGGATACAGAGGAATAATACTCGTCTTTGTTGTCCCAGCCTGAACAAGCTCCACCAGCCCCCAGGGATAGGAGTGTGTGTGTGTGTGTGTGTGTGCGTGTGTGTGTGTGTGTGTGTGTGTGTGTGTGTGTGTGTGTGTGTGTGTGTTTGTCTGAAGGAGGGTATGGCTCAGGGGTGTGGAAGGTTAAGGTCACTTGGTCAGTCCCTGTGACCATCCAGTGAGAGGATCAGTCGACACCTGTAAATGAAGTCTGGCAGGTGCAGAAATCCAGCCGAGCTGGATGGATGTAGACGACAAGTTCTTTTTTTTAACTACATCTTGTCCCGTTTTGCCGTAATCTAATTTTTATTTTGCTCTCAGAGAGCATGAGGCATGGGGGTTTCTTTACGGAGTGCTCGGTGACACAAAACCAAAGTGTTTCTGCTGTTCACAATCAAGTCTCTTTTGCTTGTGAGGTGCAAAAGTTTGGAAACGCGAATAAAACTAATAACCACCAAAAAACGAGCTTTAAGACACCTAAACGTCTAACTTCCTGTACGTTCTTGTTGGATGTTTAATAGGATAGGCGTCTACTAAGGGAATAATCCAGATCTTCTGCATTATGAGGTTTTGTGGGATGTTTGTAAAGATGTAAGGAGAGGATGAGGGTCCGTGTGCTACTTCCATGATCTGACCTTGGATAACAGGTGGACAATGAGTGGATGAATCTCTGCTAATCTGATTTTATGAGGTTGTCAGATTTACATCCAAATGTTATGTACTCAGAAGTCTGCGGTTATCTGAAAACACAAACATCGCACCTTCTTTTCAACGTTACACATCCCCAGCAGTCAGCACAGACATTTTCATGCACTTGGATTAAAACTTTGTGTCTGTTCCTGTCAGCTCCTGAGAGAAAGATCCATTTCTGTCTATTGTTGACTCAGCCTACCATGCGCCCACTCTGCAGTTGTCATTGTTGATTTTAGAACATCTAATCAAATCACCTCCAAGAGGAATTATAGAACTTGAAAGGCTGGAATTAAAATGAATAACATATAATCAATCCTGAGTATTAGTTATAAATAGAGCCATCATCTAATAAAGCAGATATCTGCTGCATTACAACATGTGACTCTGCAAAAACATCTATTAACCTCCACCTTGTCAGGAATGCCATGCCCGTAATCCTCTGCTGCATCGGAGCGGTGAACATACCGGGACAACACACAGCTCAGACCTCTGATCTCCAAACTGCTCGTTCCCCTCGTCTATGACTCATAAAATTCCCAGATGACAGTGACAATGTTGATCCTCTGTGCTGTCATCAGCTTATGAATTAGGCTGGACTCAGCGTGGACAGCTATTGATAACACATGCCTCACCGGGGTCTGTGGCACTATGAGCAGGTTTTACAGGCGGTGCTTCTACTAAAGCTGCAAAGTTCTCAACGCATCCACAACCCCAGCATGAAGCAACCACAGGGAAACGGGGACATGGCTCTGAAGTTACAAAGGCTCTCTCTCACACACACACACACACACAGACACACACACACACACACACACACACACACACACACACACACATGGGCTGCATGGTGGCACAGTTGTTAGCACTGTTGCCTCGCAGCACGAAGGTTGCAGGTTCGAAACTCGGCTGCGGCCTTTCTACGTGGAGTTGCGTGTTCTCCCCATGCATGAGTGGGTTTCCTCCGGGTACTCGGGTTTCCCCCACAGATCACAACATGCCCTATAGGTTATAAATTGTAAGTCGCTTTGGATAAAAGTGTCTGCCAAATAAATAAACATAACACACACACACACACACACACACACACACACACACACACACACACACACACACACACACACACACACACAGACAGACTAATAAATGCGGGATCCAGATATTCTAATAAACATGAGGGGATTGATCTGATTCTGTTATTCAGACAGACAAAGGCTGATTTAAGAAATATAAACAGGGATCAGACAGGTGTATGTGTGTGTGTGTGCTGGAGTAATTAAGGGGATCATTTTATATGAAGATGGATTAAGAAGGTAGAGGACAGGAGATCACTGAAAATGAGCTGTCAGCTGCACACACACGGAGTGAAAGCCTGGGAAGGTCAAATGAAGGTTACTGAGTTTATTCGTGTGCATGAAGTCAAAACTACCACTAATGAAAAATACACGTCATCCTGACATGGGGCTTGAGTCTGAGACCTTCAGCTCAGAGGCTGGAGATTTGACTTGGACTACCTATTAAAGAATGACTGAAGACACATGGTAGACTCCGAGTCAGTCAGGACTTGACTTCCACCCACCCTCTAACAACCCAAGCCTTGGGGAGACTCTCCTCCCACCCAGAACCGTGCTATTTTACTTTTAGGCTGATAAACCACCATGACCCCTTGTAGAGGAGAATATGCTGTTTTTAAAGTTGACAGAACCCTGCAAAGACCTCCTGCATCACGGTCATTTTTTATGTCACAGCGAGGTCTTTGTCTCATGTGAGGGAACCTTGAAGTGAGAAATCATGTTGATTATCTCTGATTGAAACGGGTCGAGTGTTTCATGCAGGCTGAACATGAAAATAGTCTCCTACACCTACCTCCTGCATTAGCTTCTGATGTTGAAGCTCTAGGATTAGAAAAGCCTTGCTCCTCAACATGCCTTGAAACAGCCCAGAGTTTTGGAGCTGATCTGAATTAGATCAAATAAATAAATATGACACATTTATAGATTATTGCTTAATGAAGTCAAAAAGGGGCGGTGGGAAAAGCCTTCCTTTTCAGATTCGTTGTTTTGTTTCCTTGTTTTTTATTTGTTTATTTTCCTGTTGTCTCTCCTGCATCACCTCTCAACCC